GCAGATTACATTGTTGAGTGTGCCAAGGTATGTGTGAATGTGGCCTTCCAATAAAAACAAGAAACCAAGCTGTGAGTGCTGTGGCTGGGCGACATTTGAATCGGCATTTGAATATACCAGCACACAATTTCCAGGGAACACTAGTGGGGGTGATAGGCATCTATATAGCCCTGAGTGTTGGGACTCTTCCTATAAAATTGGGACATTTGGTCACCCTAGCTACAATCATCTGCTCTTACAAGGTTTGGGGTGAAAATCTTGCAAAGATAGCTTACAATATTTTGTTGTAAAATTTGAAACTGAAACCTATCCCATTCACATTCAACTCTTGCAAGCTGTTTTTGACAGAATTCTTGTAAAATCAACTGAAGTTGCAAGGTGTTTTGGCCCTTGAATGCTGTCCTAAAACGAATCCTGCTCCAAACAGTGCTACTTGGTCAATCACTGGTTTCAACAAACTTTTCCATTTGATTTCACCCCATCAGGACTTAGTGTCAGTCAGATGTAGTGAAGACAAAACTTAAAATGAAACTATTGAGGTGTGAGCTTTGCAGATGGGTTTATGAGGTTTCACAAAGGTTTGCCATGTGACTGACCGATGTAAGTTTTGTTCCAAAAAGCTAGATGTTCTGTCTGGAAAATAAAATCTGCTTGTCCAGAAACAACCAGCACTGAAGGTTTAGCCAAAAGTCTTGCAGACCTGAATGACTTACACCAGCAGTTTCCACACACAACCACAAAGTGTACTAAGTTATCTTGTTTTTTGCATACTTTCATATTCTCTTGCAGAAGGCTCTTCCAACTCTTGTTTTAATGACCTTTTGCTTGGGATTGGCTTTCTTTGCTCTGTTTGGTTGCTGAGCTTCTTGCTTTCCTGTTGTGCCAGATGCTCTTATGTACTCGTATTGTTTTTATTCTGTGTTCTTTATTTGCAGCGGTGACCTAGGGCTCTTTGTCCTTCATCTCTGCCAATTTGCTCTGAACAAGTTTCAATGTGTTCAGGGGCAGGGCAGCCTTTCTAATAAAGTACTTTACAGTACTGGTGAAGTTTGATGCAAAAAATTAGCTTGCCTGCGTATAATACAAGTCAACCAGACAGACCAGTTTTTTCTCCCCTTATTATAGAATATTCACACCATTTTATTTCTGAGTTCTGCCTGGTGGCAATTTCAATTTTCAACCCAACACTTGGTAATAAAACATGGCGCATTAAATCAGATGTAAGAGTTTGCCCTAAAAGTGGTTTAATAAATGTGTCAAAATGTAATGCATCACTGGCATTATTATGCAGATATATGCCTGGGGATCTGATACAGTTGTGGTTTGATGAGGAGAGGAATTGATTTTATTAAAGTTTTAAAACTACTACTAGCCAAATACTATGGACCACCTAAGAGCAATTCTACTTTTTGGCATTTAAGGCCCTGATCCAGCATTTAACCCTTAAGTGTGCATAACTTTGAGCACACAAATACTCCCAGGGACTTCAGTGAGACTATGCACATGCTTAGTTAAGTATATGCTTAAATCCTTTGCTGTGTGGGAACCTATAGTGAGCTGCTTAGTCAGCTGTTGGTGATAATAGGCAAGGTTGTGTTCCTGGCTTTGAGTAAATGGGATATTTGGAAAATTTGAAGAGTTAAACCTCGGAGGAAGAAGAATCAGGAAAAAAAAATCTGTCTGTCTTTTGTTCATTTTAAAGGCAAACAAATTATACTATTTCTCCCCTTGAAAGAGTTAAAAAGGTCCAATGCAGAGATCATTTTTCCAGGTTTCCTCAGTGAGACACAAGCTTTTTCAATCAGGAAGTCAAGGGGCAGTCTGGCTAACTTTGGTTTTTGAAAACTGTAGCTCTTGTCAGTTTCTAAGGGCTTTTTCAGAAAGGTTTGGATGGTTTTTAATTACAAATTCATTTTTTTCTGGGAGAGCTGGTATTGTGGACTGCCTATTAAATTAATTTTAACTTTTTTTGCTTTTTTTTGTCTCCTTTTTTAAATGTAACCCCTGTAGACATTTTTTTAGAAACTTGACAAATAGTCCTTGTTTTATTTCTCTATTGTCTATGTGTTTTTGCCAAGAGGACTTTTTTATTTTAAATTTAAATGGTGAGTGCTGTAACTTTAACTCCTTACATAGGATAACATTCTCTAAAATACTTCAGCGATTTGGGAAGCCAGTGGGATTAAGGTTCCGATTTTGAAAATGGTGCTTAAGGCTCCTAATTCACATAGAATCTTTTGATATCAGTTTACCCAGTGTCTCTCTGGGCATGTCTACACTGCACACTTATTTCTGAATAAGCTATTTTGGAATAGAAACTTTGAAATAGCTAATTTTGAAATAGCACATTCACACTACAAATACCCATTGAAATGCCTATGTAAATTACCAAAGTAAGCTTCAAATGCCCATGATTGTAGACAAAAGGGGGAAATGTGGATCCTAGCCAGAGAGCATGTGAGTAGATTCCACAATTTCATATATATATAATTTAAAACTTTATGATTTTTTAAGCCACTCATGACTTTTGGGGGGTCCTGCCTCATGATTTTTGAAAACTTGAGATTGTCAATATTGCTGTCTCCACTTATAAGCAAAGATTTAATAGCAGAACATAAGGTCTCTTGTTACAAAAACTACATTACTTCAGCAAAATGTACTTTAATATATAGAGCTTAACATAGTACACTGGAGCAAAGCAAGTGATGAACTAACTATATTTTCCCATGCTAGTGCCAACCGAACAAAGGCAAACCGTTTTGCCTGTTTCTTTTAAGAGCCTGACAAATTTAATATTGTTCCTTTTAAAAAAAATTCTTTATGCTCCTTCTGCTTCAGTTAGCACATGCAAGATTTTATAGTTAAGCTAGTTTAGCATGTGGTGATTGTCACGCACAGTACAGGGGGACTGCCAGACTGGCTCAGCTGACTAGAATTTTGGTTCCACACTCATCTGTCTATATTGTGCTGCTGGTGCACTCTATAAAGTCTCATTCAGGGATGGGGAAACTTATTTGGGTCAGGGGGCCGCTGACCACAGAAAAATCAGTCTGGGGCCACACACAAGTGAGAAGCAAAAAAATCCCCCCAAACCAAAAATCAAACAATAAAACCAACAAAACAAAAACACCCCTCCCTCAATAAACAAAACAAAACAAAAAACCCTCACTGAAGTGGCCCTTGACTGAGAAGCAGAAAGGCACTGTCCACATCCGCTTGCATCCCAGAGCCTAAGGGGATCCAAGCTAGTAGAGCTTGTGTGCTCTTGCCCCCAGGCCTTAGGTTCCCCACCCCTACTAGGATCACCAGATGTCCCAGTATTGGGGGCTTTGTCTTATATATGCAACTATTCCCCTCACAGTTTCCTAGGATTGCCAGCTTTCTACTCCCACAAAACTGAACACCCTTACCTGCCTCCTGCCCTGCCCCCCAACCTGAAGACCCGCCCCCCACTCACTCCATCCCCCCTGCCTCTGTTGCTCACTCTCAATCTTCAGTCACTCATTCATTTTCACTGGCTGGCTCAGGAGGCTAGGATACAGGAGGGGGCTCTGGCTGAAGATGTGGGCTCTGGGGGGCCAGGAATGAAGGATTTGGGGTGCAGGAAGGTGCTTTGGGCTGGGGTGGAGCTGAGGGGTTCAGAACAAGGGGAGGGGCTCTGGGCTGAAATGGGGGCTGGAGTATGGGAGGGATACAGGCTCTGGGCTGAGGCAGAGGGTTGGATTGTGGGCTCTGGCTGGTGGTGCAGGAGCATGTGGAGCCTCCTGGCTGCCCCTACACTTAGGAGTCAGAGGGGGATGTGCTGCATGCAGAGCCACAGCAGGCAGGGAACCTGTTTTAATCCCTGTGTGCCACTGCCCAGACTTTTAGTGGCCTGGTCAATAGTGCTGACTAAAACCGCCAGGGTTACTTTTCAACCTGACGATCCAGTCGAAAGTGGGATATCTGGCAGCTCCACTGCTTCTTCCCATGCCTCTTCCCTTAAAAAAGCAACCTGATTTTTCACACTTGTTGTGTGGCCACCCAGTTTCTCATCTGTTCATTGCTTGGATTGATAAAGGACCTAGATTATTCTTCAGGGGATCTAATGGCCCACAGTAGGAGCTTTAGCAGAGACAGGAAACTACAGCCCACTTCCTTGCCCCGAGCCCCCTTCTGCACCCCACCCCAGTATTTCCTCTAATCTTTTCCATCCAAATGAGGATTTTTTCATCTATGTGTGGAATAATTTCATGTGCACCAAGGCATGCATGACTGCACCACTAGTAGAACAACAAAAAAACTACCTGTGAGTGTTCTGCCAATCAGCTGGGTGGCATTTGAATCTCTCCTGGATCGGCACACAAGTGCATAGCTTACAGTGAACACTGCCCCATTCCCCCTCACACACCTTTCCGTGCCCCATCTGCTTGCCTCAGCCATACATTCATGGGCCACCATACAATTTCCCTGCCCAGATGTGACCCTTGGTCCAGAAAGATTGCCCATCCCTGAGCTAGAAGCATATTGTCTCTGTGAAACACCCATCCCTTTTTGGCCATTGACCAACAGCTGTAAAATACTGTTTGGTGCATGTACATACTGCTGCTCTGCTGTGCTCAGGTCTTTGTGACTGTTGCCCTCTAGTGGCTGGCTTAGAGATCTTTCTAAAGCTCAGTACTTTGCACGGAACAGCTTGCTTTCAAGTGGTGGAAGCCTTTGCTTTGGAAGGAAAAGGTTCTGAATGGAGCAGTAGATGGGCAGCAAGTTGTGAGTTTCCATCATACATCACTGACCAGCTCTATAGGGGGAGAAGGGCCTTGCGTGATCTGGGTGCAAAAAAAAAAAAAAGTTGGAAGTTTTTTTTTCACCACCTGATCTCTATCTTGTGTAGAAGTAAATATAGAAGATGATTATTCATGCAGGGGGACCTGTTGCTGGTTTTTGCTTTGAAGCCTGCCTGTGATACAAGTAACGTGCTTCAGTGATTAGTCACTTGCCTCCCATCTCTACTTTCCCAGGTTCTAATTGACTGGATTAACGATGTCCTGGTGGAAGAGAGAATCATCGTTAAGCAGCTTGAGGAAGACCTTTATGATGGGCAAGTGCTACAGAAGCTTTTGGGTAAATTGATTCTAAAGATGGGGGCTTTGCAGAGAAGTGAGCCCCTCTGGGTGTGTTGGCTAGTTACCCCCTCCCATCTCCAGGCTAGCTGTCTGCAGCTTTGTTGAATTAGATATTAAGCCTATCCACGTTTACTTAAACCAGTATAAATCACTGTTTAAATGCTTATTTTGGTTTAAGAGTTAGCTTGCTTAGACTATGTCTACACTACCACTTATGTTGCTCGGGGATTTGACAAAGCCACGCCCCCCTGCAACAGAAGTTACACTGACCTAAGCACCAGTATGGACAGCTATATTGGTGGAAAAATTTCTTCCCTTGGCTTAGGGTTGCAGTGGCACAGCTGCATTGGTACAATTGTGCTGCATTAAGCTCTCTAGTTCAGCCTTAGATTTAGCTTAAATAGATTCCTGACTGACTTCAGCTAAACTGAAATTACCTCTGGTTTCAACCAAAATAAGCGTGCCCACACAGACTTTTGCACCAGTGTAACAAACTGGTGGTCAAATTGGCGCAACTTTCTTGTGCTGGACAAGGCCTTATTGTGTTGAATTCCTATTACTATAGGGAAGGAAAAGGGAAGGTGCAATGACTAATTTTTTATTGTACCCTTCTGAAATTGATTATAACACTTCTAAAATACACCCCACCCCACCCCGGAGCTCTGCATTTTCCCAAATACAGGAGTTCCCAGAAGACATCACTGTGACATTTGGAAGGTAAATAAATATTCCTGTTTCACAGATGAGTTATTTGTTCACAGTGACAGATCTGGAGATTGGAGCCTAGGAGTCCTGCCTTGTAGTTCTGTGCCTGTACTTGTTTAACAAGTCTTGCTTTGTTTGTTTGAATGCAGAAAAGCTGGCTGACCGTAAACTGAATGTGGCAGAAGTGACACAGTCTGAAATTGGTCAGAAACAAAAGCTGCAGACGGTTCTGGAAGCTGTCCATGATTTACTCCGACCCCATGGCTGGACAATCAAATGGAATGTTGACTGTAAGTGTCACATGCAAAAGGTCTGCTTTGAAATAAAACTGTTTCATGTTCATGGATGCAAAAAGGAAATTATTTTTTTTCCTGCTCATTTCATAAATGCAACATCCATCCTGGTAACCAATAATTTGATCACGTATTTTGTGGTGCAGTGCTTTTATGGAATACGAATAGTAATATATATGTGTAGTCCATATACATAGCATGAGACGGTTGGGGTTCTAGCACATGCCAACTAGCCTCTATGGTCCTTCTTTGAACTCCTTCAGATGAAGAGGGATATGTTATAATTGGACTTCTTGAAGTGTGTTATACATTGCCTATTATTCAAATATTGTTTTGCTGATCTCTGTTGATCTGAGAAACTTGTTAGCCTCTTGGATCTAGGCATTCATTCTAGGATGACAGTGTCCTGTTTAGAGAAGGTATTTCTGATGAAGTAAGCAGAAAGTATATCCCTTTAAAGTGTGACCCTTCATCTACCACAGAATTTGTGATGTGTTTCTGTGCAGGAATGAACCATCTTAATGTGGTTTATAAGGAGGCACACCATAACCTGTGTAATTTTGCTACAGATTTGTTCGGGATAGGCATTCTCAAGTATAGGTCTGATTTAATACAGTTGAGTGTATCTGAACTTGCTTGAGATGTGCTAATTCACTTTTAAAGCCAGTGTGTTTTTTGTACTTCTGCAGACATGGCTTTTATGAATATGCACTACTTTGTTGATATACTCAGCTGTAGTTCGGTGGGTGTCAGTACACCTGTTTTAGCACTGTATGTGGTTAGTATGTGCAATATGCTCCCTCATTTGTTTTACTCTTCCCTGAGGAGAGGGATGATCTGGGCACTGTCTGCTTTCAATAACTGGTTCTACTTTTGACTTGTTTTGTGACGTTGGACAATCTGTTCCCCTTTGTTACCATAGCTGTAAAGCGTGGATAATATTTATCCATCTGACACAGGTTAATTCTTTAATGTTTGTAAAAATCTTTTGTGATCATTGTGTTGCCTTGCTACCCAATAAAGTATCTCAACCTTAAAAGGCTGGTTATTTAAAATCTGTTTTCAACTTTTTTTTCCCAGCAATCCATGGCAAGAATCTAGTTTCCATTCTCCACCTTCTCGTAGCTTTGGCCATGCATTTCCGGGCTCCCATCCGGCTTCCTGAGCATGTTTCTGTGCAAGTGGTAGTTGTAAGGGTAAGTATAAACTCCCAAGTATACCACATCATTATGACTGTCATCCATCACCCTGGCCTCTCTGCTTATATGCCGCAAACCTTCCCCTCTCCCCCCACATCCTTTGTCTTCGTTATTTAGCTAATCCCTGCCCTTTTTGGGAAGCCCTTTGTGTTTCCCCGGGGCCAGTTCATCATGTTGATTGTGACATACTGGTTTCTTTAGTTCTGCGTATCGACACTGGTCGTTCTCCATTTCTTTCTCTGCTTGGCGATTGGGGAGATAAGGTTAGACACATGACTTCTAGTCTCCTGCTCTAGACATTGCAATGGTTGTTTCTGTCATTGCTGTCTGGTATTGACTTTTTTGCCCATTTTTCTTGGTCCACTAAGAGCATTTTGCTACTTGCAGGATATTCTAACTTTGTTTTTTGTCTCAATTTCCATCATAACTTACTCTTCCCTGGCTTTGTGGTTCTCTTTGGCTGATGAATCTGCAAAAGCCCCAAGGTGGGACCTGAACTCTGATTTCCTGAACAGCTACTGTCCTACCCATCCAAACCTTCTGGCCGGCTGCTTTCTCATGTCCTGCTGTAAATGTTCAGTATGATGGCCCATGCAGTTGTAATGTATGCGTGGCAGACAGCATTGACCATGGGTTTGTCAGTAGCAGCGAGAAGTCACCCTTGCTGTAGTGAGATTCATTTTGGGAATGAGAAGATATATGGTGTAGTGAAACTGAGTCCCAGGCCTTGATTCTGCAAACAGGGATCATTTGCGTAAAATGAAATTTAGATAGTGACAGATAAGACAAACACTTTGGTTTAAGTTAAACCTGATGTTTTTCGGGCTGCCAGCCAGAATGTTTAAGGTATGTCTTCACTGCAGCTGAAAGCATACACCCAGACAGACTCATGTTATTTCTGGCCAAGCTGGCTCACTGGAAATAGAGGCATTGACATTGCAACGTGGGTGGTAGCTCAGGCTAATCTCTTGAGTACAATCTTTGCTTGAACAGGGCTAGCATAAGTCTGCACATTCCCAGCTGCAGTGTAAACCTACCTTAGGAGGACAAGAATTTGTGTGTGTATATGTGCACATTATCTATGTATGTCACTTCTTTATATTTTCTATTCTGCTGCTATCCTGAAGCATTTTAAAATACAGCATGCTATCCTGTATTTTGGGAGTTTGAATAAGGAGTAAAATATTTGTAGTTCAACTTGTACGTGAATCAGTCTTAAGGAGATGTACTAGTTAAGTGAAATATTGTGACAGGGAAAAGCTAGCTGGTTACCAGAAAGAAATAAAAAAAACAGATATATATTAGCCCTAGCCTGAAGAAATCCCTGCTGTCATGGCAACCAAATGGCAATTATTCCAGGTTAATTAAGATACCTCAAGATAATCTAGAACCTGCTAGAACCAGTTGAGACAGTTAGGTTTGATTGAGACATCTGGGGCCAATCAAGGACTAGTTTGGGCTGACTAAAAGCCTCCCCTTTAGTTAGTTTAGTGCACACCAGGAGCAGTGGGAGGAGGACATGGTGTTGGAGAGCAGGAACTATAGAGATGGTCTCAGGAACCAGGAAGGAGTCCTACAGGTACAGATGTGTGGGACAGGGAGAGCTCTACCTGGGAAACAGCTACTTTGGGCCCTAGAAGTCTCAGGGGGGTAAACTGGTAGGGGGGAGAGACTAAGATAAGATATCTAGTTTTTTGCTGCCACGTTTGGGGAGGCAACTGGAGGCTAAGAGATTTTTGCTCCTCCCTTTTCTCCCTGCTATGCCAGTGATGAGTGGCTAAATCAGACTATTGCTTGCTCTTGAAGTAAAGGTGTTATATTGAGAGCTGCAGTGAGCCACTGAGGTGATTAATTAGACTTGGAATGTGTAAGCATCTGCAGAATTTGGCCCACATTTAAGAAAAGATGCAAGAAGTGAAAGTCAGTGGGACTTAGACTTCTAAATCACTTAGGCACTTTTGACATTGTTACCCCTTAGAAGTCTTCAGATTGTAGACTCAGTTAAATTGTCTTAAATGAGTAGCTGTGCCGGTCTGCAACTTTAAAAATGAGTAGTCCTGCAGTACCTTAGAGACTATATATAGATCATATATATGATCATGAGCTTTCAGTTAAACTGGCTTAACCCTTGTTTAAAATTGGCTTAGCTTAATTTGGTAATTTGCCAAATAAGCCATGTCCATTTCAGGCCTTTTTTACACTATAAAAGCTTTTCTGATATCATGGTACTTGCAGAACCCCCTCATGTAATACCACCTTCCCAAACATTAGCTATGTCAGCAGAAGTCTCTCTTTGTTAGAGCTGCATCCACATTTGAGGTTATGCCAGCATAACTGTGTGGTGTGAGGTCACACTTCTGCCTGACATAGCTGTTCTGCCCCTCCCCCCAAAAAAATCTGTCAAGGAGACACAGCCTGAATCAATTTAAATCTGTTTTAGTTCCCCCGTGTGAAATTTCTAAGTGGACATAATTAGAAATAAGGAAATTATAACAGACTCCACAAGATGGCAGTGTGTCCAGCTTCAGGGTGAATTGTTGCAAAATCAGTATTAATTGCCTCTTGAAATTATGCAGTTTCTTTTTTAAATGCTTTGGGTATGAAATATAAACTTTTTTAGCATGACAGTCTGACTGTCACAGTTACTCATGAAGTCCGGGGAGAACTCAAGTTAAATTGTTTTGTACCACCTTATAAGTAGCTGCCTCAGATACTGAGTTTGCAGGACTAAGTTTGCGCCTGCTGAATGGATTTAACATATGAGTTGTTCAGCACTCCCCCCTCTCCCTGAAGAAATTCTTGTTGTACCTGCCTAAAGCAGAGAATTGAAAATCTTGAGGCTTTGCTCCCTGCTAGCTGCCCTCTCATTAGTTTTGATTTCCATTTGGACATAAATTTCCATGTGTTAATGTTTTATAATAGAGAAATATTTTAAATTAGGAGAATGTAGAAAGACTTATTCATAAAGCATCATAAGAACAGTGCTTCTGTCCACTGTGCAAGACTCAAGAATTGTATTATTCAAGTCTTACCTAGACTGAGTCCATCTCTCTGCTAGTCCAGCGGTGCACAACCTGTGAGTGGCAACCCCCTTGGGCTGTCTTTGTGGGGAGTCGCAGCGCTGTGATCCGACCATTTTTTTTTCTCACCAACTTTGGGTCCAGTATTTTGGTGACACCATCTGGCAATTTGGGGGTCAAGCGTGAAAAAAAGTTGCTCACCACTATGCTAGTCCTCTTCACACATTTGCAGTACATGTAATCTCAGTGCTGCTAAAAGGTTTTTGGGATAACTTTGAGGTAATCCTCCAGCAACTGCAGTCCCGAATCAGAGGCCTAAGAGGTGAGAAAGGTATGTGGTCTTCATGGAAAAATAAATCTGTTTAGTGACTATAGCGCAAAAGGTCAGGACCAAACCTTGTTCACTTGTTCCTGGGCTGCTCAGGTTTGTGGGACTAAGTTCTATGAAGGCTATAGGACTAGCATGCTCAGCTCCTAAAAATCAGCACTTTTTTCTTGAGTGATTGTTTCCAGCTAAACCAGAACCTTTTTGTTCCCCTTCCTTTTTAAAATGTAAGGTCCATTATTCACCCTCTGTACTTTCTGAATTAATTCATTCATAGCCATTGCTTTCTGCCTCTGGGCTGTAAGGGTGGCTGGAGGCTGCAGAAGCCCATCTTGAAAGCAGAGCAGAGGAACGATGGGATGGAAACAAGACAGCAGTTGCTTAGCATTCGGTCAGACTTCCTTATTTGTCCATCTCTGTGGTCATTGCATCTTGCCTTGTCACACCTTCCAGGCAGTAATCCTTTGGCTGCCTGATAGGATCAGAATCAGATGTATTCATGAGGTGGATTTGATGTGTTCTTAAGCCACAGTGGGACAGATGCCCTCAGTATAGCACAGAGCCAAGCCATGGCAGCAGAATGGAGACATGGAAGCAAAATGTCAGGAGATAACATCTTCCCCATTGCACTGCCTGTGCCTTTTAAAAGTAGCAAGAGCCCTGTGGGGCTTACATTTAAAAGGCAGAGTCCCAGCTGTCAGAGTCCCGCTTGTGCAGTTTCCTGCTGTACCTCTGCCTTCCCTGCAACCCTGTCCCCACAGAGATGGTGCTGAGAGGAACCAGCTTTTAAGCCGGCTTCCCCCAGCATCGGCTCCTGCTCCCCCTTCTTGCTGCCTCTGATACAGAGGCAGCAAGGGGTGGGGGGAGGGGAAGTGACTAGTCCACTAGTTGCTTACATTCCTACTTCCAACATCGCTCTTGGTCAGGCTCACTGGTTCACTAGAAACAGCAAAATGGTTCTTGTTTTGTGAGGAGGTGGCAGGAAGGAATTCGTGCAGAGGTTCTTGGCTCAAACAAAATGCATCAGAGAGGAGGGCTTCTTTGTGGTGCCGTTCTCATTAACAACTGCTTCTTGTTGGTGTTTGTGGTTTAACTGTCAAGAATTAGTGAGAGGGCCTGGGAGGAATGGGATGGGCTCGTCTCTGGTGGTGATTTACCAGGGATACCAGAACTAGAACTAGTCCTGAAGTAGCAGTTGAAGTGAACCAAGTCATAAGTCAATTTGATAAGATTTGCTTGGGAGTCAGCTGCTGGGATCTGAACTCCTTAAGACAGCATCTTAAGCTGTGAGAGAAAGAAGAGGGAAAAAAATGATTTCCCTTCAAAGTGACAATGACGAATCCTTTAACTTTGTAGGGTACCTATAGAATCAGGGGAAGAGCAAGTTATGAATGTGTTAAATAAGCAAGTAAAAACTCTAGCTCTGCATTGAGTTAGAAAACTACCATGCAGGAGGGCCTAGTTACAGCAATGAAGTGTATCCCTAAGACTCCAGCATGGGTCAGGGACATGCTTCCAGCACAGCTTGGTCTTGTCTACAGCGCAAAGGCCATGTTTTAATAGGGTCTAGGGAAGACGGTGTTGTAACTGGATCTTGCCACGCACTAGCTCTCTGTATGGCAGAGCAGATAGTCATGCAGAAAATCATCCTGAAAAGTCCAGTAAGAGGGAAATAACTTCGATTACAAAATAACTAGTCTTTTCCTCCCCCTCCCCTACAATTCCTCAGTGAATTTGTCACTCCGGAAAGAGAGACTGACTCACTCCAATTTAGATTCTTCTGCTGGGCAAGCCTCCATCACACACTGGTAGCTCTGCCAGTGGACCTCAGCCCTGACCTCTAGTAGCAACCCTTGTTTATTACAGTCTCAGACCGCTCGGAGGTCTGCCAATTCATTTGGATCATTTGTTATGTTTGTGTCACGAACAAATATCCACAGGGGACTTCAGAGGAGATGGACAAACTCACTTTCTCATTTGTGATCCAGGCGGAATTTAGATTCCTGTCTCTTGAGAAGACTTGCTAGTGAATTTATAGGCTGCAGATATAGACGCCTCCTCAGCATTCATTTGGCTGTCAGTCTGATAAATGCCACTGTGCTAAATCTTAACCCCTTGTGTCAATTGCCTTGCCTCATCTCTACTGAAACTTAATCTTAAAAAGCTAGATAAAATGTGTGCGCTCCTTTGGGACTTGATTGGGAGAGGGATGCTGCAGAACTCTTATGAGCTTCACCTCCTCCTCTACAGTTCTGACTTTTTTTATATCTTGGTTTCCAGAAACGGGAAGGCCTTCTCCAGACAGCTCATGTTACAGAAGAGCTCACAACCACTACAGAGTAAGCAGGAAATCTTTATCCATCTGACGGGGGTGTGGGTGTGTGGAGGTGTGTCTGTGTGTGTGTGTGTAGGGGGTCTGTAAGGTGTGTCCTTACTTGAAATGAAAGAGCACCAACAATTCTGTTTATCAAATTAACTGCCTCTGTGAAACCCTTAACGCACAACTTTTTTATGCAGAAACCACTTTATCACTGGAAATACACTGCAAAGGAAAAACATTTTTCTCCCGGGCAAACCTTTGTTACAAAAGATTTTAGTTTTTACCCTAATAGGTCATTGATATTTGTGCAACAACTTTTTGCTGTTTCTTTTACTCCACTGTGTATAATCCATTTCTGCCCAGCCTTATTGCACCACTCTGCTAAATGAGTGGTGTAGGGATTTTTGGGGGAGGATCAGCAGGATGCTTCTTCCTTGGGACACCTCCTCAAAATTGACTAATTGCTTTTACGTGAAAATGGAATGCAGGAAGGCTCTGTAAGTTTTCCCCATCCATGTGCTGCGCAGTGGAGCGCAGCAGGCTAGTCCCCTTAATCTTTGCAGCTGTTCTATGTCGCTTTTTTGTTTTTACAGTTCTCTCAAAGGAAAAAGGATAGAAATGCTCTTTGGCTAAAAATGAAAGCTCAGACTCTCCATCACAGGGCCTAAAGGCAGTGTTAACAAGGGGCTCACATGAAGCCTCCAGTTCATCAATGCATAGTCTCCCTATAGGGATGCCTCAACCTTTTATTAGTTTGTAGCTAAGTGGAGTCCAGGTGGTTTGCTCTGTGGGGGTTCCCTTTGGATGAAACCTTCAGAAATGAAGGCACAGTTTCTCTGTGCGGGCATTAAAGCTCTCGTGGTCCTTTTCAGGGGAATAGAGGTTTGCCACAGTGTCTTTGGCCAAAATTTCTCTCCCTTTTCCAGTTTGGCAGTGTGCTTGGCAGTCCTCTTTCTTAGAGTTGGCCGTGGTTCAGTGGTGATGTACGAAAGATGCTTGTGTGTGTGTGTGTGTGTGTGTAATAAAGTGTGTATCTTTATAGGGTGTAGATTTAAATAAATAAGACACTATCTAAAATCCTACGTGCTCTAACACAAATTAGAAAGTCAAGAAAACAAAAACTCCTAACCCCATAATCGCCAACTAAACTAAACCTTGTACGGAGTCTCTCTCTCTCTCAATCAATCAGTCAATCAATATAGGTTTGTGTGTGTGTATTAAAAATACTATAGTTACCCTGCATTGCTCAAGACCTTCATTTTTGTTTTTTGGAAAATAAAATGAATGCACATACTTCATTTAAATAATTGTTCTGGGGTAGGGCTGTGGATGAGAGGTTCAGAATGCAGGCTCTCTTGGGGAGCGAGGACAACCCCAGCCCTCTCTCAGCACAACAGGTTGGGGCCAAGTGAGACGCGCCTCTCCATGGCTGCTACAGCCCCAACGGGTACAACTAGTGGGAAGGGTGCATGTTGGCTGCTTGGGTCAGGTCCAGGTTCATCTGTCCTCTCTGCTCCCCAGCTGGAGTGAGGGATGCAGCAAACTGTGCACTTCCCCCCGCTCCCTGGCAATGGGGTACAGTCAGCAATATTCCTGTATGAATTGGGGAGGGAGAGGGAGAAGCTTCGGCTCCCCCTGGCCTTCTCTAAAGGGTGCCTGAGGAGGGAGGCTCGGAGCTGAGGCAGTACCAGATGGGAGGGGAAAGGGGGGGGGGGTTCCAGCCCTTTTATCTTCCTGGTGAGTCTGTCTCCTTTCTGTATGCTTTTATAAGAAGCAATCCCATTCCATGCACATCCCAATTTCCTGGCACAACCAACCCCTTATCTTACTTTAAGTTATGATAAGAGGGAGCTGCATGCTGAATTTGGTCATCCTAGCTCTTACTGTTTAGGTGAAGTTCTTGAACAGACAGACAAACTCTCAAATCTATGTCTATAGCTATATTTGAGAGAGGGGGGGGGGGGCACTTGATTCTCAGTATATGTAAATCTGCAGAGCTCCATTGACTGCAACCTGAGGACTTTGTTCCTGTATAATGCCTATGTTATTTCAATAACATACAAAAATGTGTGCCATATTTTTATCTAAGTAAAACTGTGACATACCTAACCATAACTATACTTATTCTGAACTGTTTAATGTAATCTATTATCTAAGTGCCTACAGCAATTTGGTATAAAATAAATCAATATATTTATTCATTCACCCTAAGACTTGGAAAAGGCATAATTATGCATTTTACATCATTGGCTCTCAGTGTAACGTCACAGATATCAGTTGAGTTACATCAGGGCTAAATTTGGCCCATTTTCTTCCAGCGTGTTGGGTATGAGCCTGTAAGGTGCTGAAACTTGTACCTCTGTGGGGCTTGATTGTCCTTAGTACCACATAGGATCAAGCCTATTAAGTCTAGGGTTTCTTCATTGACTTCTGAACTAAATTAATATTTTCTCATGTTCTCACTTGCAGAATGATGATGGGAAGATTTGGTAAGTAACATATTAATCTGTAGAAGTTGCTCTATCAAACTCATTGACAAAGCATCTGTCTTTTTGTTATAAACATGTCTCAGTTAATTCAGGACAGCGGAGCAGGCAGTAGTACAAGGCAGGAGCACGTGGCAGGGACAGCTGTGTTACTGGCCGAGGGGAGTCCTGCCTGAAGAAGAAGGGAGTTGAGGGGCATGGGGCAGCTGCTGAAAGAGCCATAATTTTCAGTCTTTTGCTCTGTCTACTAGACGTTCGACCTCAGCCTGTTATTTTCATTACAAAAGATAATTTTCTGTTTTAAAGAAACTTTGCTCAGCAAACCCGCACCAAAGGCCTCTCCAGTTTTCCAATAAGGAGAGGTTATGCCTATGGTCCTTAGTATTTAGGCGCTGTGGTAATAAGCTCTCTAAAAAAGCTGAAGGAAAGGTAGGTAGTTATAAATGGAGCTGATAGGAAGATGGCAGTTCCATTTTACAGCAGCCTTCAAGATTTTGAAAGTTGTTTTTGGTCCACATCCAAAATGTCCATTTTCAGATTGATTTTTTTTTTCTTCAGGAGGGCATGCGTGTATGGGGGTGGGGCAGTGGCAGCAATTAGGCACTCATGTGGGAGGCCCAGATTCAAGTCCCTAGTTGAGCACAAACTTTTCCATCCTAGATTGTTCTCAGTTGAGCAGAGCAGGTACTTGAACTTGGGGCTTCCACACCCCAGGTCAATGCTCTAATCAGTAGGCTGTAGATAAGTGCTGAGAAAGCTGCAGTTGTGTACAGGCAGTCCCCGGGTTACATGGATCCGACTTACATCAGATCCCTACTTACAAACGGGGTGAGGCAACCCCGCACTAGCTGCTTCCCCCCAGCAGACCAGGGAGACGCGGAGCGGCTTTTCTCAGCAGACACCTCAGCTTGAGAATAAAGGACTGAGGGAAGTGAGGTGTGGGAGAATAAAACTGAGCTCTGGAGAAATGTTTGGCTATAATTTCCCCTACAATATGTACCAGTTCCAACTTACATACAAATTCAACTTAAGAACAAACTTACAGTCCCAATCTTGTACGTAACTCGGGGACTGCCTGTACTCAATAGCTGCCTCCAATAGCCAACGAATCCCATTCCTCGTTCCCATATAGTAATATGGAATAGCTTCCTTTCTGTCTCCCTCCTTGCTTTTTTTCCTGTTGTGGTACACTCTGCTATAGCGCGTTCTGTATTGCGCAAAAGTAAACGTTTTGCTGTTGCTTCTGAGAGCGCCTTGTTTTCCTTTCTTCGTAGCATCTCTCACACTCTTTGTTTAGGGCTAGGTGCATCAACTCACTGTTATTTAAAATAATGTAAGAAATAACCTTTGAGGCATGTGGTTCATGAAGGTCGTAGGAGGCTTAGAGTTTAAATCCCTCCTCTGCCACAAACTCTGAGATTTTGGGCAAGTCATGTAGCTTCACTGTGTCTCTATTTCCTTTCTGTGAAATGAGACTAGTGGTGCTTCCCTCTCTCCTAGGACTGTTGTGATGTTAACTACATTAAAGATTGTAAGAGGCTGTGGTGGTTAGGAGGGCATATAAATACCTCAGAGTGCATGAACTTGTCTAGTAAGTAGATCTGTCTTTAAAACAAACGAACCATGGCAGTTTTTTGGAAATTTCACTGGATTTTCAAAATATGTCAAAATTTTGTTGAAAATTTTCAACAATCAAAAAATTTCAACCAGCTCCATAGCTGAACAAAACACCATATATTTCTCAATTAAAATTTTGATTGAACATTTCAGCTGTCTATTTTATTTTACTGAAAATGCAGTTTGCAATGAAAAATTACATCCATAATCTCATCACTTGGGAAATGTCAGTCTTCTCTAATAATAAGATAAAGGATTAAAGCATCATGGTGCGATGTGAATCCAGAGTATTTTATCCTAAAATGATTTGGAAAAGTAATGTGGGAACAATGCTTTATTTGTCAGGGTTTGCTAGGGCTGACTCCTGGCACCTCTGGGGTTAGTGGTTCATTTGCCCCAGCATGCTCTGTGCTTGCTGCATCAGTTATAAAAGTAAAAAATACTGCTTGAGCCCCAGCACCTCTTTCATTACAAAGTAAATGCTGTGTGGGACCAAGGAAGAGGAAGGGAGGCGCTAAAGTTGGACAATCTTCTGGGCACTGGAGTTACTGGAGAATGCCCAATCTCTGTTCATATGGAAGAAAAAAATGTCTTTCATTGACTTTAGCATGAATACAGCCTTCATCACATACAGTGGAGTTACAATTGCAATACCCATGGAAGTAATGCTCTACTTTTCAATTAGTTTAAATCAATTTTGATGAGATTAATTAGGGTTTGTGCAGACCTATGAGAGTAAAAAGTGCTATGGAAGTGCTAAGTGCTTATATTAAATACTGGGGTGGAGGACGGAGGAAAGTCACATCTGCATTCAGGTCTTGCTTTAGCAAGGCACCAATTGCATGACTCTCTTTAAGCACGCAAGTAGCTCCATTGAAGTCAGTGGTACTACTAGCATGCTTAAAATTAAGCTTCTGAGTGAGTACCCCACTAAATCAGGGCCTGATTGCTGTATCACTCGGCAACAGGCATGTACACATCCTGAACAGCACAAACCTCAGGAGAAATTCAGTGGCCATTTGATACAGTGAAAAATAGATCATAAGGTCAACTTTTAGATTTTCTTTTTGTTTTTGTTTCCATGTGTCTGATTTCTGTACCATCTGTGAAATGCAGGGAAATCCCTCAACTTAAGACACAATTTTCAGGCTCCCAGTAGTTTGCTTTGGCCTTTAGGCACTTGTGTTGGTTGACCAATTTTTGTTTGAGTCTCCATTGTGTTTTTCCTAAGACCGTGGAGACCAAAAATTGTCATGTATAACTTGCTTCCACATATGGCTGTTATAGCAGAATTGATTTGTCTAACATTGCTTTGGTCTCTTTATAAATCAGAACGAGATGCCTTTGACACCCTCTTTGACCACGCACCAGATAAACTCAGTGTAGTGAAAAAGGTAAAATATTCTTTACATTTCGTTTTCTACTGTGGTCAGGAGTGGATTTTTAGGCAGAAAGGGGTCCTCAAAGTCTGGAAAACAGTAGAGAATATTTGTGAGTCAGCGGGGGAGCCAATAGCTTTGCTGGGCCCCTGAACAATGTGGGGGTTGGTGGGGGAGGCTCACTTCCACACTCTTGGAAGGGGTAGGGCCTCAAGTGGAAGGGGCAGAGCTAAATCAGCCAGCCCTCAGTGTTACTTGGTTCACTGCCCCCTCCCCAGCCCTCAGAGCTGCCTGCAGACCCCATGCAGTGCTCCAATGGGGATTTAAAAGCTCAGGGTGCCCCTGCTGCCACAGCAGCACTACTGGGAACCCTGGGCCCTTTTGAATCACATACTGACACTTGTCCCCTTTGCCCACACTTCCCCCCGCTCTGTTGGTTTGTGAATTAGTGGGAAAAGTATGCCTATCCGAGTCATATAATACATTCTTATTGTAACTTGTTTATTTATACATGCATACCAGTTTTGGGCCTGAGGTGGTCACAAACAGCACCGCAAAGGGTGTGTCTACACAGCAAAGTTATTTCGGAATAACCATGCGAGCGTCTACTCAGCAATTCCATTATTTCAAAATAATTTTGAAATAACAGATGGCTTATTCCAACTTCTGTAAACCTCATTCTATGAAGAATAATGGTTATTCAGTATTAGCTATTTCAAAATCAGGTGTGTAGATGCTCCACTTCTGCTCTTTTGAAATAGCCCCTCACCGGGGCCATTCTAAGTTATTCCTCCTGGGACTCTAAATCGAGAGAGCACATCTACATTAGGGAAGCCTGCCTTGGACTAATTTTGAGGCTTCCCTTCAGTGTAGATGTGCTATTTCACAACATGCTATTTTGGAATAACTATCCCGGAATAGCTTATTCTGAAATAACTGTGTCGTGTAGACATACCCAAACAGTCCTTGCATTCATGAATCTCAGCCCAGTACCGATGCCTGGCTCCTGTAGAACAAGTCTGACCCAAGAACTGACTCTGTGTAGAGAATTAGGCAGAGAGCGCACGCTCCTGCATAGCCTGTTCACCTAAAGAATCTGTAACTGAACCAACCCTACCACAGCACTTCCTTCCAGACTAAAATCATGCTTGCATGGTAAGAAAATTAACTTGGAAGATGTGGAAGAGTACGATCTAGTGACTCCTGCCACACAGAGGTTGCACTGGAGATAGAAATTTACATTACTATATCACTTTAATTCTTACTTTCTAAAATTTAACAAATGATCTGGTAGCACCTTATAGACTAACAAAACATATAGATGGTATCATGAGCTTTCGTGTGCACAGCCCATTTCTTCAGATGACCGGAGTTTTGAGTTTGGGAAGAGTACAGACTAACTCGTCTACTCCCTGAAGTTTTTAAAATTTGTGTTACTGGTAAAGAGTGTGTTGTGATAATCATTTACTAAACATTGTAATCTAATGTTGTATTAACCCTACTATAAGGGTATCTGTTCTTGTTTCTAATTACATTGCTCTTTGTCATCTTCCTTTACAGTCTCTCATCACCTTTGTGAACAAACACCTCAATAAGCTGAATTTGGAAGTGACAGAATTAGAAACACAGGTAGGCATTTTATACAAGAAAGCAAAGCTCATTTGGGCCCCAGTTCTGCAAACTCTTCTGCATGCATTTATCTCCGTACATGTGAATAGTTCCATTAGGGGGATATTCCTGTGTAAGTGTTAGCCTTATCTTGTGGGCCATCATAATTTGCAGTAGCATTTGCCTCTGGCTGCTTCTCAGGTTCATTTACTGCAAATGTGACTTAGAGTAGATACTACTGGTAATTTGTAACCTCTCTTGGCTTCATATAACAAGGGTAGTTTTAGAATATTTAATATTTGTGTTTATTGGCTGTAGTATGTGGTTGAGTTTCAGGCCAGTTTTTCTAACAGATCAAAGAAAACATTTGCAAAGCACCAGCTGTATTAATTAAATTATGGATGGGAGGAGGTCACGGCATGTCTTTCCTAATTGCGTGAATTCAGGCTGTTGATCTGAACCAGGATAAATCCCCAGTTGATTCAGTAATTGTTGTGGCATACATCTGTCTCTGTTTAACACAGATTAGATATTGGATATCCTTGGAAACACTATAACCCAATCAAACATGAGTTCTGGAGACACAGGGACGTGTTGTTTTCACTCAGTGGCGAGTATATCTGAAGCTTGCATAGCTCTCACTGCTGTAATAGAAACAATTATATTGTTTAATGAAAGCAAGTTCATTGAAGATAAAGACTGCTTTAAAATTAGGCTAAGTGGTTAAATTACTCTTTGCTGTTTTCCCAGGAGAGTAAGTATGGGCACTGGATAGCCTAGAGAATTGGTTATGGAACACTGACATTTAATTTAGGTAATTTGTTTTGAATCTGGCCTAGGCTGATGTGGATTAAATTGATCATCTATTGATTGGTGTTTTTACCTTAGTTAATGGTAAGTTATAACCTAGTCCTGGGACCTGACTGTGTGTTTCACAAAGATACACTGTGATCTCTGCCCAGACACCAGTGATTAACAGGGCTGTGGAGACTTGATCAACTCTCTTGCCCTAAAAGTTTTGTATGACTGCTGTCAATGCAGTATCTGATTTATGGGTATGGGTCTGTGAGCTTCACGAGCTGTGAGTCCAGCACCATTTTTACCAGTGCTGAGAGGTACAAAAGAATGTAAAAACTCCAAAAAAATGGGCCATGAAAGGTTAGAGTAAGTGGAAGGATTGGTCATATGCAACACCCTTCTATTTTAGGAATTGATCATAGTCTTGGGACTCATACCATTTCACTTACTGTGGAAGCAATTGCTAAACTGCAGTGCAAAGTGGTCAGAATTAACAAGGATTTTTATGCTTTGGAAAGTAGGTTGAGAGACTTTCATGTCTGACAAGTTACTAGATCACACAGAATTTTGATCACTGAGCTATTGCTTACTTTCCTCAGATTGTTCAGTAGTACATTAACATGCTGGCTGCATTACCTGTACTGGTATCCCTAACTAGATGGAATGAGACCTCTTCAAGAGTTTGAGATAACTTCTTCCTCTAGCGGCTGGCCTACAAAGCAGATGTACAGGAAGATTTTTCAAAGGAGCAAAGGGCAACAACTATTGCTCTTTGGCAACTACTATTCATTTCCACTGTGTTGGTCACCTTTCTGTCTTTTGTGCCTTTGAAAATCTCCCCCTTACACCTGCTGACAGCTCATAGGAGGTTCTGCTTCTGCTAACATGATTGTGTCTTATCCAGTGCTATTGTATATGGTTCTGGTCGCTGAAGTGCAGGTATCTGTGGACTGTTGGTTTGATATTTGTATTACTGTAGAGCATAAGAGTAATAGTCATGGAGCAGGATACTGTGATACTAGACATTAGTACTAAGGATGTTAAATTTCGATTAATTAACTAATTAAATAGTCAATGGAATTCCCATCAACTATTCGATTAGTCGATAAGAACTTTCATGTTCTGCCTTTGAAATGTACAAGAGCCCCATACTGGCCACAGGCTCCATGCTGCGCTTCCTCCTTGAAGTGCACAAGAGCTCCCACGGGGGACTCTTGTACATTTCAAAGCTGGCACAGCGCCTGGAGCCCAGGGCCAGTGGGGAGTCCCCCACTGATCCCAGCCTCCATGCAGCATTCCAACTTTTAAATGTACAAGAGCCCCAGGGGGGACTCTTATACATTTCAAAGTTGGCCACCACTGCGGCCCTTCCCCCTCCCACAGAGCTGGAACTGGGGGAACAGGCTTCTAAGCTGTCTCCCTCCAGCATCCCCTTTCTTCCTCCCCCTTTCTGCCTCTTTGTGATGGAGGCAGCAAGGGGGGAGGAGGGGAAGCAACTAGTCCCTCATTAGTACCGTGGTACAGACATAGAGCAAAGACAGTCTCTGCCCCAGAGAACTCTTTGCATGTGCCACCTTATCTCTGATCAGAAGTTCAGGGTATGTCACACAGGTCCTACTGGAACCAAGGTAAGGAATTCTGTTTGAAACAGACAGTACCTACCAACATTTAAAAGGAATTGTATTGGTTCAGAGCAGTGGAACTCTGCTGGTAGGCCTATTCAAAGGCTTGCATGCAGTTCTCTTCTGGGGTTGGTGCACCGCATCCCAAGTCACATGAATAGATATATGGTGTAATACAAGGAGAAGGCAAGCATGAATTTTGTGCAGTGTTCTGGGTTGTATTTAAAAATATAGTTTCCCATTGTCAATGTAGCGCATCTCCTTCCCAGTCCTGAATGGAGCAAAAAGTAGATTATTAAATGTTTGTAAATCAGCCAATGAAGTGCTGCATGTAGATGTAAATACTTTGGGTTATTTATCTTGCTTCTTCTCATTGCTTGCGAAGTCTTGCATGAAACTGGATGCCTACTGCCTGCATCCAGGAAATTTCACCATTATCTCTCCTCAGTTTGCAGATGGTGTCTATTTGGTATTGCTCATGGGTCTGCTTGAAGACTATTTTGTTCCTCTCCACAACTTTTATTTAACACCTGAAAGTTTTGATCAAAAGGTGAGTAGAAATTCCAGTATGCACTCATCTCATTAGCATGTCACTCATACTGTTTTCCACCCAGTGGCTCCATTCTCTTCATGCCCAGTTAAGTCAGAGTGTAGTGTATCCTTTCTTTAAAAGGGTGTAGCAAAGATGCATTTGTTGTAGTATCTGACAGTTACTAGAATCTGTACTCTAAAGGTTGCCTGTGAAACAAAGGTGTACATCCCAATGACTTTACCCATACCTCCTTCGCAGCTAGGCTAAGAGACGCATTCAAGATATGAATACCTAAACACGTAGGTAAAGAAGAAAAGAAAAACTTGGTCCTATGATTTTTCAGCACAGCTGTAGTCAGATGGTGTTTATAAACTCAAAGGGTATAACATAATAAATAATTTGCACTTACATAGAACGTTTACATATTCAAGTAGATTTACTTGTTTAATTATTGTTACAGCAATGCTTAGAGGCCCTTCTGAGCCCAGGGCCTCATTCTGCGAGGCATCATGCATAGTCATAATAAGAACCAATCTTTGCCCTGAACTGTTTACAGTCCAAGAAAGGAAATAATATTAGCCCCATTTTAGAGGTGGAAACTGAGGCAGAAGGAGACTAAGTGACTTGCCCAAGCTAGCACAGGCAGTCAGTGTCAGTGCTAGGAATTGAAACCAGATGTCCTGCATGCCAGTCTTTTCCCTTCACTACAAAGCCATCCTTTCTCCTTCCTAATTTTGTCACTTTCCTGAAAATTAGGGAAATAAGTAATATTACCTGTCACGTACATGAGAAACTGAGGCAGAGCAGTAGGTACTTGGGCAAGACCATATAGCCGGTCTCTCACAGTACTGGGATTAGGACACATTTGCTGAATACTGATAGTGGCATTGACTCTGTACCAGATATGCAGTAAGAAGTAGGTCTTGACCATACAATGAGCACCATGTATGCAGCATGCAATGCAGAGCCCCGCTGGTGTCGTCAGCAGTCTACATCAGCTCGGGGCTCTGCTTGTCAATAAGTCACTGCAGAATTGGGGAGGGGAGGCATTGTTCCTAAGTACATAGATAGCACCCTGGGAGGCCCAAAGGAAAACTCTAGCTAAGCATTTACCTAAAGTGGGTTATTGTGGATGGGCATTGCAGACTAGGCTGTGAGGAGAGGGCAAGGTGGTTGTTCCACCAGGTAAAATAGACCATTGCTGCCTAGAGTGATATGCAGGTCGAGAATGTTGCGTGGCATTAGGCGGGGTGACAGGTCATCAGTGTTAGGCCTTCCCAACAGCCATGGTGAGGAGGAAGGTTCCCTCTAAGCTGTGCAGTAGCATGGCCCTGCAGCTGCTTAATGAGCCCTGTCCAGACAGAGGCTCAGGGCTCTGCACACGGAGCTGCCTGGCTAGGGGAGGGACACTTCTCCCTCCGCTGCAGCAGCAGCTCCCTGCTGTGGAGAGAGCAGGGAGTCTCTCCCAGCTGGTAGAGAGGGGCCGTGTGGGTGGGGTGACCTGTCCCTAGCAGCTGGGAGAGACTCACTACTCTGTCCTCAGCAGGCTCCCTACTCTGTCCTCAGCAGGCTTCCACCCAGTACCTTGCTGCGCCTCTGCCTTTTAAATGTAGTAAGAGCCGGGTGTCTCTTACTACATTTAAAGATAGAGGTGCAGTGGGGTTAGCTCCCGGGGCTGGGATCTAACCCCGCTGTGGCTCTGCAGTTTCCTTCCTTATCGACTATTGAAGCAGTGGATGGAAATTCCATTGGCTACTCGATTAGCTGATTAAATGCAATTTAATGTCCTTAGTATGGTCTTTGTTGCAACTCACCTTTCATGGATATAGCTCTTCCTCAACAGAAGGGATCATACTAGCACCATGGAGCAAAAATGTGTTTTACCAAATTAGGAAAGCCTTGTAACTAGCTGAAGTATTTGCCTGAAACACCCTGCCCTGTTAACCAGGATTGATCCCACTGAGAAACAGCCATGTGGGTTCTGCTGACTCATTGAGGCAGGTGATTAGTTGCCGGATGTGGATGTATGGGAAGTAGGAGTGGTTTCCAGGAGAGAAGATGATCCAGGATGTGGTCTGAGAAGTCCTGTGAGAGGAATCCCTAGGAGCAACAGAGTCAAAGGATAAAATCTGAGTAGAGACCATTGTTATCTCATGCCAGGTCTATACTTACCCAGAAGTTTGAATTAAGACATGCAACTCCAACTACATTAATTGCGTAGCTGGAGTCAATGTACCTTAATTGGATCTTTTGCCCTGGCTTCGCAAGGGGAGGTCAATGGGAACAAATGTTCCTGCCGATTTACCTTACTCCTTGCAAACTGTGGAGTATTGGCATTGATGGGGGGGCTCCCTCCATATCCACTGCAGCGTCGATCTTCTCGCTAGTATAGATGTGGCCCTTAGAGTATTTTTTTTTTTCCGTAATAAAGAAAAATGGGAAGGGCATGTGTGAGGAAGGACTTAATACTCTTGTGTGGGCTGTGTTTATAGAGCAGGTTGGCTGTGTTTATAGAGCAGGTTGGGAAAGATTAATTTATGTATTACTTCATAGAAAAACCTTCATAGGTACTGCTTCGCTTTTTCTTCTGACACTTTCTTTTGGGTTGAATTTTCCGGAGTATAAAATCATGAGATTCACCAAGTTATGAGGTATTGTTTTGAACCAGTCTTCAGTAATAAGAACCAGTAATAACTGGTTCAAAGAAAAGAGTATGTGTGGTCACATCTCTACTTACCTATGAATCGATGCTCCAGAGATTGATCTTCTGGGGTTCAATTGAGCTGGACTAGTAAGGACCCGCTATATTGAATGCTGAGGGTGCCCCCAGTGGCACCAGTAGTCCCATCAACCTCTCAGGAACAGCACCAAAATTTGAATCAAGGTATGCTGATACCAGCTACACAATTAATGTAACTGGACTTGTGTATCTTGATTCATACTCATCCTCTTGTGTAGACCTAGTATATATGAATATAGGGGAGGGATTAGTTAGCTTTTATTTTTTTAACTGTGCATCTCTTTCTACCTCTGAAATTAGTTTTGCTTAAATAAATTAAGGAAAAATAGGAGTAGGAGGAAAGATTAAAATTAAACCAACAAAGGGGACCTTTTCTCATCCTAATACAAAGAGATTTTGTATGCATAACTCCCCCACTCACTGAGATGAGTAGTTTTAATTAAATTCCCCCCCCATGTCGCATAATGTCTCCAGAGTCAGTCACTTACAGACACAAGACTACAAAGATCTCTTTATCTGAATTACCTTTCCACATGCAGAGAGGAAGAATTTCTTAAACTCAGTAGGCACCCAGAAAAAAAGCTGATTGCTCATGTTAAAACCATTCAGACTAAAATTTTTTCCCAACAGGTTTCTCTTCTAATTGATCCTCTTCGTATTTTCTTTTCCCTGTGTTTCCCTGTTCTCTTCTGTGACTTTGCCTTAATTTTAAGAGTAGATTTATAGATCCTCTGTTAATGTGACTCTTCCTTTTTATAACACTCAGAAGCCCTCTTTTCCTCTTTCAAAATACTGCTTTTAATTATTTCTGCTGGGACAGCCCTTTACTGTTGCTCCTTGGTACTTAGTTTGTAATGATCAAGTGAAAATAATTTGAAAATGTTAAGCCTGACTTTACTTCTAATCTCTCTGGGTATGTCTACACTACCCCGCTAGTTCGAACTAGCGGGGTAGTGTAGACATACCCACAGATTGTAACCTGTTTTCTGTTGAGTAACTGCTGTTAAGTTCCTTGCAGCTTGGTTGGTCGATGATCTGTTCCTTAAAGTCTGAAACACTATAATTTTTCTTGAGTACACAGGCAGGAAGAGCTCACCATAAATGCAGATGTTTCTGCCCTCATATAAAGGCTGTGACATGTTGGCTTTGCAAGGTTCCTTCCTACCCTACATTTCTATGATTTATCAATCTCTGTAGCACACTACAGTAGTCTACAACACTTAATTGTTCTGCCAAGTTTTCATGGGGTGTTGTAATTCCTAATGTGCTCTTATTACATTTTGACTCTTTAAATTTGGAAACTTTCTTCTTCATCCTTCAGTAGATTTGATTTCTGCTGCCTTTACTCCTGAGAGGAAAACATTTGGGACTCAGATCAACAGATGTCGTTTATTTAAAAACAAAATAAATCCCAACATCATTTTGAATGACAGAGAAGGGAGAAGCAAGTAACTTTTTTTGTTTACTATGTGTTCGGATTTGGAAATTTAAATATATTGCTCTTTGCAGGTCCATAATGTTTCCTTTGCTTTTGAGTTGATGCAAGATGGAGGGCTCAAGAAACCAAAGGCTCGTCCTGAAGGTAATATATATTTATACAGGCATAGTGGTAATTATATCTCTCGTGTTACTCAATTACAATCTTTGGGGTTACATTAGTAAATAATATTGTGGAGGTATGTTCAATAAAAGCTGTTATCTGACCCTGTATCAGCCAGAGAACTCTATAAATGGGCATTTCTGATCTTCATAGAAAGTCTGGTTTATAGTTTGGTTGGCATAGGGCTGGCAGGCTCCTCAGAAGTAGTGACGTGCCAGCTGTTCTTAGGTGGATGAATAGCCAGAAGGGGTTCAGAAAGTGGGAGGGGGTGTAGGGCTGAGGTTGGGCATGGGAAGTTTCAGGGTGCCAGAGACGGGAAGGATTTTGGGTGCAGAAGGGGGCTCAGGGCTCAAGCAGTAGCTCCACAGCTCCCAATGGCCAGGAAACAAGGCTAATGGGAGCTGCAGACCTGTTGCCTATGCGTGGAGGCTGTGTAAAGCTGATTAATCACGTATCTGCCAGGAGCAGCAGCAGCAGAGAGGTTTCCCATTGCTTGTGGGGAATTGCCTGAGATGAACATCTCCTCTCGCCTCCCCACCCCCGATCCAGCTCTCTGAAACCACTCCTGTGCCCTGACCCCCTGCACCAAGTCCCATTCCACACCCAAACTCTCTTCCAGATCATGTGCCCCATACCTTCTCCCATATCCCAACCCCACAATTCCTCCCTCCCCCTCTCCTAGTTAACTAGAACTTTTTGCTTACTGGCACACCCCTTTTTCCCAAAATGCCAGATGAAAAACCTGTTGACTGTATTATATAGACTTACACAGTTAAAACTTTGTTTTTTTGATGCCCTCTTATCCAGAAGTCTTTTTATGCGTATCTGTTTTGTCTCCCTTAGGGCATGTCTACACAGCAAAGTTATTTCAAAATAACTTTCCTAGCATCTATACAGCCAAACCATTATTTCGAAATAAATTTGAAATAGCGGCGCGCTCATTTCGAATTTGGTAAACCTCATTCCACAAGGAATAACGCCAAATTCAAAATAGCTATTTTGAAATAAGTGCTGTGTTGACACTTATTTCAAAATAGGGGGCCTCCAGCCTTCCCAGGGAACCCTGGTGGCCACTCCAGTCTCAACCAAGAACACTCCTCTCCCTCCCCCCGCTCTGGAGCCCTTAAAGGGGTCGACTTTGGCCACAGTGCCTGTGCCAGCTCCAAGCCTGTCAGACCAAAGCCAGCAGTCATTGCCCCATACCCAATGACCCCAAAACATAAGCCAGCAAGCCACTGGCAGCCAGCCCTTCACCACTCCCCAGGAGCAGTCTGCCAGCTCCCAAGATCCTGCCAGGGCCCGGATTAGGTGGGCACCTTCCTGGTCCAGGGTGGAGATCATGGACCTTATTCAGGTTTGGGGGGGGGGGCTGCCCCCAACGTCCATGATCTCCGCACTAGATGGAGGAACGCGGCTGTCTATGGCAGGATAGCTGTCAGCCTGGCCACCAAAGGCCACATGCAAACCCAGAACCAGGTTCGCATGAAAATCAAGTTGGTCTAGCAACACCTCCACCCCTGAGCCCTGAGCTGCTGCTTCCCCCTTCCATCTTTCTCTACTCCCAGGTTTCCCCCTCCCCTCTCTTCTCCGCTCTCCAGCCTCCTTTCCCCAGACTCACCAGAGTTTCATTTCCTCCCCCCAGTTTAGTTAAATAAAGAGAGTTTGTGTTCATGAAAATACATGTATTTTATTTGACATCAGGAAGGGGGTTAGAGAGGGGTAAGTGGAAGGACGTGAGGGAGGAACGAGGCACAAGCTCCCAGCGGGGCAGACCAGGGAGGCTCTTCATGCTCCACAGGGTGGAAGCTCTCCCGCAGGGCCTCCTGGATACTAATAGCCTCCCAATGGACCTCCCAGATGGCAGCCTGCAGAAAGTGCAGCCAGGCTCGCAGCAACGCCTCCACGAGAAGCACCAGAGTGCCCAGGGGCAGCTCTGGCTCCATGTTGCAGAGTGCTGTGGTGTCCCGAGTGAGGGCAACCAGAGCACGCAGAGACAAAATGCTTTGCTGTCCCTCATCGAGGTAGGCAAGCAAGCAGGGAAACCTGAGAACTGGCTGGCTGGGGGGGGTTCCTTTAAGCACAGACCTTAGATAGCCTCAGGCAGCAGCCCCACACAGTAAGTCCTGATTTGGTGCTCTGCAGGAACTGGTTCCGACCAGCCTTAAATGCAATTCAGCCTCCACTCAGTGTGGACATGCTATTTCGAAATAGCAAAATGCTATTTCGAAATATATTTTGTGTAGAGATGCATTATTTTGAAATAAGCTATTTTGAAATAACACTGTAGTGTAGACATACCCATAATGTGCATTATGACTGGAGTAGACTCCACTATTAAGAGGTTCAAGTCAGACTGCAGGATTTTAGTAAATGATAGTGCTATATAATAGCTATTCAATAGCCTGTGTTAGATCAGTTTGGTGCTCTCAATACTTTTCCTTGTGGAAAGTTTACATTAAAATCGTTCTCTTCCCTATTAACTCTATTTTTCAGCCTGATCGCAGACACAAATAAATGAGGGACTAAGTTTGTTTCTATGGAAATCAGTGACACAAGCTCCTATTGGCTCCAGTGGTGCAGGGCTAAATAGTGAACGAGCCTGAAGCCAGAATAATCCTTTTGCCTTTTTAAAGGTTGTACCTCTGAGTACTGAAGTTAATGAATGCAGCAGTGTCAAGAAGCTTGCACTCTCTTCATGCTGCTTTCTTTTGGACTAATGAGAGGAATTCTGTCTCCTGGACTATCACTCAAGCAATCTTTGTTTTCATTGCATCTACCTCAGATGCGTCCTGGGTGCTTTTTGTAGAGCAAACAGAAAGCCGAGGAGGCGCAAGGGAGTCTTCAGTCTAACTTTCCATGGGAAAAATAAGGACAATAGCAGGGAGGGGATGAGATGAGGAAGGTGCAAAGGTTATGGCATCAGGATCCCACAGTTACTTGGTTTAGGCCTGTGCATGGCGTTGTGGCTCAGGCCATGTTTCTTGTTTCTTAAAGTGCACGTTAAGGAGAGACTTGAATGAAGGGAACCTATTCGGTTGGAGAGCCAGAATTGGGAAGACATTCCATGTATGGGGCCTGGGGAAGGTTGAGGGGGCAGAGGGATCAAAATCAGAACTGGCATCGTTAGTGTAGTGGAGAGAATGAGGGTCATAAGAGGTCAAGGCAAGTAGCTTAGCCAGACACTACTGCAGGAAAACCATTTAAAACTTACTTTCCTCTTTCCTCAAGTCTCCATGTGGTTTGCTTCGATTCAGTGTATGGCAGAGGATGTAAAGAGAACCAGGGGCAGGTTTCAGTGTCTCCATGGTCTTTAAATCAGCTGATGATTGTACCCTGTAGAAAACAAATTTATTAATAAAAGTAGGAGGGCAAGGTTAGGTAATGCAGCAGTCTTCTCGGTCTGATTATCCCCCGTAATTGCTGGTCTCGAGTATACAGTTCTCCTGTGGCGCCAGTTCCCCTTGGCTACACTGTTGAGTGAGGGTGCTGATATGCTGCACAGAGCTGGGATTTCTAGCAGAGAAGGTGCTGTTTTTGCACAGATGCTTCTGTGAAAGGGACAGTTGCATCGGAGGTGATGCTTGTTTCCTTTCACCTTTGTGTGGGGGGTGTTGAAGGATAGGCATTTGCACACATTAGTGTCCCCCTGAGTTGCAATTCAGTCGTGGTTCATTTTCTCATGCTCCACAGAATGGTTTAGGTGGGGATTTTCTGTGTATGCCCTGTTGCTGTGTTGTCACTTTGCTCCCAAATTAACTGGGCAGAAGCCATTTATTGTCCTTGATGGACAGTTGGTTTAACTCAGGTAGTAAAGGCCTCTTGAATTACTTCTTGTAGGATGGGGCACTGAAACACCACTCTGCAGTGTGAAAGTGCTAAGAATGTAGTACACACTGCTCCCCTCACTTCCCCCACAACAAAATATAAAAGTCATTTTGGGTGGTGTATATAGCACTGCACAAATTACAGGCCAAATTACGTCCATTAAATACAATAGACACATCTCAAGGCAAAATTTTGCCCGACATCATTAGTGTGAACTGTAGCGGGCAGCTTTATTATCTTCCTAAGGGATTTTGACAGGCTGGAGAAGTGTCATTAATTCAAACTCTATTTTAGGCTATTTTATGATTTATTGCCACCTTTTGTTGGCATTCTGTCAAATCACATTGGTTGGGATTTGGCCACACAAACTTCTTCTTACAAGAAGTGGAAGATTGAGATCATGTGTTTTCCTGGGCACGTCTGGTGTCCCTCTAGTCAGTGCTTCTCAACATGGCCTATAATTACCTATGCAGTGAGGATCTGTGTCTGATATTTCATTACTTTTTAATCTAGCAGACAAAGGTTTAACAAGATTTGAAGGCTAGAAGTTTTTTGAAAGCAGGGAAAAATTAACCTGGAAATAAGGCATACATTTTATAAGCGAGTGTAATTAACCGTTAGAACAAATTACCAAAAGATGAGGTGGCTTCTCCATCACTTGAGCTCATTAAATTAAAAGTTGATGTATTTCTAAAAGATACATTCTAGTACAGGCACAAGTTATTAAATTCAGTGCAGGATTTACACGGTGAAGTTCTCTGGCCTGTGTTAGGAGGTCAGACTAGAAAATTATAGGCTCTTCTGCCCTTAAAGTCTGTGAATCATTACATTAGCAAGTAAAAGACTGGGGTTTATTCCTTTTTGGCAGGAGGAGGGAGCAACATATTCTAATTCCCTCCCAACAGCTGAGGCAGAAGTTGTGGCAGTGGCTCAGAAAGGACACCCACACTGTGTTCGGGGCGGTCATTATGACACAGAGCCTTGAGAATAGGAGGGATGGGATGAAGCAAACCAGTGGTGCAATGGGAGATGGTGCAGATACCCTAAGAATACCTGAAAGCGTAGGACCACCTGTCACCTATGAAGCAATTATTGCAACTAAGCTGCACCATTCATTTACCTTGCAGATCCGAAACTATAACAAAGGACAGAGGCCAGTACTGGCACCTAGAAATGTAGTCCTTGATCCTTGGCTCTAGCTGAGCTGTGCTTGGTGCAGCAGTGGAAGGGGGTGTTATGTTTTCTTCATATTTCCCCAATGCACAGGGCTTCTGGAGGGTGATTTGGGCTCAGGCAGAGGTCAGAGCTTAGAGGTGCTCTAATTTCCAGCTGCCTACAGTGGAGTCAAGGGAGATTGGTGCACTGCAGTGCTTTCTGGCAGTTCCCTTCCCTCCTTTGGGACACTCTGTGTTGGCGGGAAGTATGGAATTGGCACCGCAAGTGCTATGCCCATTGGGGATTGCCCATGCCACAGTAGCATCAGCTAGGCTTTTAGGCCAGTTTACAGCTGCTCTGCACTGCCAGAGCTATGTGTTTGGTATTGGCACTTCAAGTTGTCTGCAAGCACCAATAGGTTGGCTGCCTAAAGGTTTCTCTGGCCTACAGCGAAGATCCCTCCCCTTGGCTTGCTGATTGCGGAAGCTGGGGCTGGTAGGAAACATGGCTCTTTCAGGCGAAATTCACATTCAAATCTGTCTCTGCGCAACATATCTAGTTGCCTCAGAATGATGTACCAGCATATTCCCAGGCCCTTTGGGAGTGTTGTGCTGCTGGGGTGTTAAACAGCTTCCTAAGACTTCTGGAAAACGTTGATCTACAGAGAGAATTCTGCTAAACCTCCGAGGGTATGTCTACACTGCATTCTTCTTTCGAGAGAGGAAAGCAAATGCAGGCGAGCGAAATTGAAAATGAAGCGTGGATTTGAATTTCCCATGCTTCATTTGCATAATCGCGGCCGGCCACTTTTTTGAAATAGCATTTTTTATCTCGAAATAGGGTATGTTGGTGTGGTTATTTGGAGAAAAACCCTTCTTTTGAAATAACCCTTAAACCTCATTTTATAAGGAGTAAGGGTTATTTTGAAAAAAGGGTTTTTTTTCTCGAAATAACTGCATCTACACAGCTTTTTTTAATCTCGAAATAGAGTATTTTGAAAAAGCGGCCGGACTTCGATTATGCAAAAGAAGCGCGGGAAATTCAAATCCGTGTTTCATTTGCAATTTTGTTCACCTGCATTTGCATTCCTCTCTCGAAAAGGTTTCTCCTCAATTTGTTTCCTATTTCTGAGGGGTCGTCTGAAGAAGTGGATTGTGCCCATGAGAGCTCATGATAGCTAGTCTCTGAGGTGCTGCTGCCCTATTCTCTGTTTTATATGTTTTTCCTCTTCCTGTTCATTCTATTTTTCCTTCCTGTCCTCATCTTTTCCCATATCTTTACCTACCATTTTTCCCCATTATTGCGCTGCTGATGTTGGGAGATTCTGTCTTGCAAGGGCACTCTGTGACACATGTCCCCCTTGCAGCCTTTGTAATGTACTTCTCTGTGGCACTTCCTCTCTGTTATCGTCAAAAAACAGGACAGAAAAAGAGAAGCTCTTTCTCTGTTGTGCATCTGAGGTGGGAGAATGCCAAACCGATGAGCTATAAGCTTGAAATTTGCAAAGGCGGAGAATGGGGGGGGGGGAGAGGGGAGGAAGGTCTGTGGTTTTGGTGGACTGTAACTGTTGATTCACTCTCCCCATCCTTGCTCAGATGGAAATGTACCTACACTCCAGCACAGCGAGAGGGGATGCAGGAAGGTTTGGCACGCACAAAGCAGGAGTTTTAAGTGCTGCTTACCGCCTAGCAACTCATTGCAGAGGTTCTACATGGTGGAGTTATGTTGGGTCCTCCAGAACCTCACATGAAGTATACAATTGGGACTTAAATCCTTACTCTGGACCCTTGGTTAGCAATGTCCCTGGTAGAAACTAACTAGAAGTTGTTAAAGCTGCGACATGGTATCTAAGATGGAGATATCGGGTCTGAGACAGAAGAACCCTTCAGGCTGCGATAGATTGTAGATCAGGCAGGAATGGGGGGTTTTCTTATTTTTTTCCCTCCAGATAGACGTTTAAAAAGATCAGTGATTAAAGTAATGGACAAGTCTATCATATGATGCTATCCAAGGAAACTAGATTTTTTTTTCAAATTGATTTGTTTGTATTCTTTTAAGTTCACAGATCAGAAGACCCTTTCATTAAGAGGAAACTGGGAGGTAGCACTAAAACAACCTAAGAATGTCTCTCTTTTTTTCTTTCACAGATGTTGTTAACCTGGATCTGAAGTCTACCCTCAGAGTTTTATACAACCTGTTCACGAAGTACAAGAATGTTGAGTGACTCTGAAAGCTGCTGAGTTGCTAATCTTCACAATCTCCTTAGAGGGGAAAAAGGGAAAAACAAAATACCCTTTATGTTCCCTTTGTGCCTTACACTTTATTCCATGCTGCATGATAGCATTCCTCCTTTTGTTCATATTATCTCTATGTAACTTTTTGCATGATATGCCCGCTGAAAATAGTCTGTGTGTTTGTTACAAATATTGTTTGAAATATCGTTTGAATATCGTTTTTACATTTGTGCTCTGAGATACTAGTGGGTCTGTTTGCTAAGGTCAGCAAGCTTTCTTGTTCTGTTGATAAAGAAATGTTATACTAGCTACTTGGATAAACAGGAAAAACTTGAATCTGCCTTGATGGGGCAATGCCTTTATGTACTTTCTTTAGTAAACTACTTGGTTACCATTGCTAGTGGAAAATACACTAGGCTTGAGTGTTAGAAATACAAAATACTTTCATTGTAATGTATTTGGAAACTCCATGGTTTCCATTAAGGCTTGTGTGTGTCACTGTATTTGTTTCCAAGGACACCAGCTGAAACTGTACGCAAGAACCCAGGAGAGCTTTTCCTACCTTTCATGTTAACCTCATACCACCCAGTATTATTTCCACTTGATGTTTACGCACGATTAGCCTGGAAATGGAATGATTGACAAATCTGGCCATGGCTGCTTTTCTCCCCTCCTTTTGTGCTGAGGAGGGAGCTGCAGTCACACTTTAAAATGTGCAGTCACTGGATCAGCGCTGTCAGGAGCTGGTCAAGAATGGATGGCCTGGCTGGATTTGTGCAGTTTTTTTAACCATTTGTGGAATGAACCGGGGGAATGACAGTTTGATTGCTTTGAGGTGCAAGGTTGACTTTTATTTTCTTGGGGAAAAGCTAATGTGTCCGCTTCTGCTCTCATTAAAGGCAATGGCAGTTATAATATTTCAGAGCCCAAGGTCTGTAAACAAAACTGTTGTTTTTGTCTTAAATATTAAATGGAGACAAGTCATTTTTCAATACGATGTTGTCTCCGTCTCCTGGGTTTACAGTGAGCAAAACTGTATTGTGTACCCCAGTATCAAACCCATGGGACTTGCACTGGATTTGGAGCAGTTTAGAGGTGTGATCCCAGGGCTGAGTTAACTTCATCCCACAATCCCAGTGATACTTCGCTACTGCTATGAGTTCTGGACCCAGTGCTGTAGTCCTTAGGCAAAATTACCAGTGGGGTCAGTGGGAGTTTGGCTTGAGAAGAATAGACCCTTTGAATGTATCTGCTTTGTCATAAGACACCTTTACAGCACTTGATGGATTTCACCCGAGTGTAGAGACTGTCTAATGATGCAATGTAGTTAAATGTACAAAGAAGGCAAGGTTAGGATGTGTTTGGGATGAGCAGATTATGGGCAGGGCTTTTAAAAGAAATAGTATTATCATTTTAAAGTAAGTTATTTGTAGGCTACGTACCTTAGAGCATTCATTCCTTCCCTCAGAGTGTGGAGGAAAGATTCAGAACCACTATATTATTGTTTTCTATTTATCACATTAATCACATGTTATGGGCTGCCAGGTTTTATGTAAAGCAATTAACAGAGTGGCCTATCAAGGAAGAATGTATTACTGCATTTTCTGGGCCAAGTACAGTCCTGTTATAAGCAGAGGCCCATCTTTCATTGATTACAAATAAAATGCATCTGCTTATACCAGGTCTGTATTTACCCTTCATGTTTAAAGAGCAATAGGAAACATGTATCCCCTTACTGTGAACTGTGGTGTAATTATACAGAAGAGTTTCTTCTCTTCATTGACATTTTTGTTTCTTGACACTTTAGCAGTGACCTTGCAAAGGGAGAAAACATCTTTTTTTAAGGTTTCTTTCTGATGTCTAAAAGTAGCCTAATGGGGTTACTGTGAGGGGGGGGAAAAAGTGGGAGAAGGTTTCTACTTGTTTCTGTTAGAAATTCAGCTCGCATCTACCATGGAAGATGCTATGGTGACTAAAGAACTAATGAGTTAAATTGTAAGGACTAGATTCACAAAGGAATTTAGGCGCTTAACTGGCACTTTGGGCATCTAAGGCCAAAATTTAGATCCTCAACCTTCCTGCTCAATTACTCTAAATTCCTGCTTTGACTCAAATATTGTCTATGAAGTGGGAAAAGCTTCAATTGGAGAGCGGGAGATCCCCACCCCAGGAAACTTAATAGCCCAGCAATTAGTGCTACACCTAGGAGTTGGGGGGGGCCTGAATTCAGGTCTCCCCCCTCCAACTGAGGTAGAGTGCTGGTTTGCACTGAACTTGGTCTTGCACATCTTACATGAGTGCTCTTACCACTGGGCTATTAGTTAGTCTTTGCTTGAGTACTCTTGCCAGGTTTGGGACCTTGATGACATGGGCAAATTGCCAACAGGATGCTTTTAACTTAAGGGCTTCCCCGAGTTTTAAACCTCTTGATATAGCTCTCCAACCACAGCTACTATTGCTTATTTTCATTCCTAGTCTATGACCTGCTTAATGTGTGGGCTGTAATGGGCTAATATGTTTTGGATTTAATGTTTAAAAATAGAGGCTTCACCCCATCAGTGCTAAAGGACAGGACAGCTAATATTTTGTTTGTTACTGGAAGTTTTGAATTATGCCTCATAGCGTAGAGTTGGGTAGAGAAAGCAAGGGAATTCTGAGGCTTGTTGCATTGTTCTTGAATACTGCATGCCCTGCATTCAAGCTTCCACATTAATATATTGTTAATGAGATTGGCTGCCTTTACAGTCTATGTAACGTGCCTGGTATTTTCACCATCAGAACTGCAGGTTCAGTTCAAGCCAGTTGTGTTACAGCTGGTTCTGTGGCTCAGAGGCCTGAGCTATCATCAGCTGTGTCCTAATGTCACAAGATCACAAATAACAACAAAGGCAGAGTTTACATCAGCATAAAAACTTTCAGAACTTTTTGGTTTTCCCCTAATAGAAACCCAGTGCTTTGTATATTAATGCATTTTCAGAATCTTTCCTACTATTTTTTAATGTTCACTCTGGATTTATTACTAAACATAACCCCTCTCCCTCCCCCCCCACCCCCTTGCCCAAAACAACCTTTCAGTTCAGATACTGCACTTGTTGTCATACCTTGGACAAGTGTGGCTTAGAGAGCGTGTAAAAGTAGTGTACTGTAAGCAAATTACAATGCAATTCGAACTTAATGCATGGTTTGTGACAAATGTATTTATTCTAATAAATGATGATTGCATAACGTTCTGGCTCTTTTTTGGCTTGTTTAATGGATGAAGTCATAATAAAAGGAAGGACCTGAATGAAGAATGTATTTGATGAAGACAAGAGCCATCCTGCCTATTTTCCAAGAGGCCAATGTGATATTGGTCTGCATCAGCCTTAAAAACAGAGCAGGCACATGACAGTCTGTTTCTTTGGCACTAGAAGGACAGCATATAAAGGAGTCCAGGGCAGGAGCACTTTCTTCTGCCTGGCTCTGGGAATTAGCTTGTGGTGGCCCTTGCCTTCAGTTGCTCTCTCACCATCAGTGCTCCCCTGTCCATGACTTGGAGTACTTCCTCTTACTGATTTAGCCTTTCGGCTAGTCACTGAATAGTCTTCCCCCGCTCGCCAAGGGCAATGACATCCCACCAGACAAGCTGTCCATAAGTTCTTTCAGTAGGGTTGCCAGGTGTCCGGTTTTGAACCGGACAGTCCAGCATTTGAGCTGGCAGTCTTCTTTTTCCAACTCCAGCTCTTGTACCTCTTTGCCACTGGCTGCCTGCTGCTCAGGGTTCTAGCCTAGTGGCTGCTATTGCAGTCATTAGGCTCCTTCCTACCCCACCTCTCCATCTTCAGGTTTACCCCCACAGTGCCCTCTACTCCCCAGGGGCATTTCACCTCCTAGGCCTCTCATAAGATTCTAGGGTTGCCAAGTTGCTAATTGCACAAAACCAAGCCCCCTTTGCCCTGCCCCTTCTCAGAGGTCCCACTCTCCCACTCTGTCTCCTCTCACGTTCCACCATTTTCTCAGGGCTGGGGCGGTGGGTTGGGGTGTGAAGGGGTGAGAGCTTTGGCTTGGGAGCAGGGGCTGGAGGTGAGGAGTTTGATGTGTGGGAGAGGGTGTGTCGGAAGGGTTGGAGATAGGTGTTTGGGATGTGGGAGGGGTGAGGGCTCTGGGCCTGGGATGAAGAGTTTTGGAGGGGGCTCTGGGCTGGGGCAAAGGTTTTGGCCTTGCAGGCTCCTGGCTGAGAGATTCAGAGCGTTGAAGGGGGTATGGGATGCAGAGTGTAAAAGGTGGCTGAGGATGGGGGTTTGGGATGCGGAAGGGGTTTCAGGGTGCTGGATTGGGGAGGGGTGCTCACCTTGGGTATCTCCCTGAAAAAGGCAACATGTCTCTGCTCCTCAGTGGAAGTACGTCCAGGTGCCTCTATGTTCTTCCTGCTGGCTGAGAGATTCAGAGCGTTGAAGGGGGTATGGGATGCAGAGTGTAAAAGGTGGCTGAGGATGGGGGTTTGGGATGCGGAAGGGGTTTCAGGGTGCTGGATTGGGGAGGGGTGCTCACCTTGGGTATCTCCCTGAAAAAGGCAACATGTCTCTGCTCCTCAGTGGAAGTACGTCCAGGTGCCTCTATGTTCTTCCTGCCCCCACAGCTCTCATTGGCTGAGGTTCCTGGGGAGGGGCAGGTGCGGTGTCTGGAGCCCCCTGGCTGCACCTTCACCTAGGAGCTGGGGAGCTATGTTGCCACTTCTAGGGAGCTGTGCAAAGCCATGGAAGGAGCCTGCCAACTTCACCAACCGGACTCTTGACCTTCAGCAGTGCTAACTGGAGCTGTCAGGGCTGAAAACCAGACACCTGGCAACCCTATAAGAATGACTCCCTCATCTAGGGCAGGATACCAGGGTTGACTTGCCCCCTGGCTCTCCTCCTTGTCCCCGGCCAACATCTTTATTCTAGACAGTAACTGCAGATCTGCTGCCTACACTCCTTGCCTGGCCTCACTTCCTGGCTTTACAATGTTATCCCAACTTCCCTCCTTTACCACAAGCTCTGCTTCCTCTATCATTAGGCCCTATCACTATTCCTGGAGTGGACCCAAAGTTTATCTAAGGTTAATGGGCCCCTTCTGATCCATATTAACTGGTCCAGGATGTGTAGGATGGGCCTAGCATCACTCACTTGTTAGATTTATAGGTATTGGAGCTAAGTAGCACTCCCCAGCTTGAAGTGGTTTCCATCACACAGAGGGTTTACAGTTTGGGTCAATGGATCTCGACACCTCCACTATACAGCTTGTTCCAGCCCCCTTGTTTAGAGACCATGCAAACCTGGGCAAAATACAGCCTGTAGGCTGGATCCAGCCTGCCAAGCCCCCAGATCCGGCCTGTGGATGCTGCAGTGAGCCCTAGGCAGGCTCCCTGCTTGATGTGTCCCACCCACATGCTGTTCAGAAAAGCAGCTGCGAGGCCATTTCTCTTTAAAAACTGAGAACCCTGGGGGAGGGGAGAAGGCTTCAGGCACTGCTGCTGCCCCCAGCACAATCCCATTGGCTGATTTCTGGCCAGAAACCAGCCAATTGGAGCTGCCTGTTTTAATGACAGACAGTACACAAAGCACCATGTCCCCCTCCCCTCCGTCTCATAGTTATTCACACAGGCACATAGCCCTGCAGCCTGCGTGGGGGCAGGGTAGGCTCCCTGCCTGCCTGAGAAACGTGCTGGGCTGCTGGTCCAGGGTCACTCAGGTAAGTCTCCTGGACAGAGCCTACCTCTGGCACCCCAGCTCTTCCCATCCCCAGTCCTCTGCCCTGCTCCTGCATCCATATATGCAAGAGCTCTCAGTGGCCAGAAAGCTGCAGCCCCTTATTTGTCCTGTCAGCCACTTCTTTGAATGAAAGTTACTTTCAATCATCCAATGAGTAGTTGGCCAGTTGGGTGCCCCAGATCACAATCCCCTCTTTCACTCAAACTCCCTCCCAGACCCCACTCTCCCTCCTGCACCCTAGTCCCCTCCCCCAAGCTCCCTTCTGCATCCAACCTCCATCCCAGACCCCAAACTTCCTCCATTAATATCATGGAAGAGTGCAGCCCTTGACCACTTCGCAAAATTTTTGAGTACCCCCCCCATCAAAAATTATTGCCCATCCCTGGATTGTTGTGCTTAAATTGGGGCACATTGGAGGAGAATTGTAGACTAGCACCTGCAAATGTGTAAGTTAATGAGAGGCAGGTTGTAGGCACAAAATCCCAGTTAGTTTGGCTGAATGATAAAGAGAGATGGCAATTCTGAAGCTGTTTTTGGAATTTTTAGGAATTTAAGAAAGCTGTTTTAGGAAATTTTTCCCCCCAACACGATGTAATGTCAAATATGCTATTAAAACCTCCATGATTACGTTCAATAGCCAGTGGGAGACTATCTGTGGGAGCAGAATGGCAATCATGTACCATTCTGTGATGGCGAGGAACAGAGACATGGTTGAGGCTGTAACTTGGAGTAAAAATGTGACATTTTAAGAAAAGAAAAATTTAACTAAATATTGCATAGGGCTATAAGAGTGAGCCCCATTGGGCCGTGGAATAATCTCCCAATGGAAGTGGGGGAGAGTCTTATTGTTTATGAGACTTAAAACTAAATTGGACTAGCCACTTGAATTTATTTCTGGGACTCATCGTGCATTGGTAAGTGGATGGATACGAACTCACAGGCTTTCCCCACCTGTAAGACCATTATAATATTTCTAAATGTTAGACTAGGAGAAAATCTAAATATTCTACCCTAAAGAACAATTTTGCCCTTTCTGACTTCATAAAGAAAATATTTAATCAGCTAACTTGTGGGTGTCTCTGTATCCTACTTACGAGAGAGATGCAGCGTTCTGTTCTGCAGCATAACCACAATTTTCCCTATCAGTAAAATACCTAAATATAAAAGAGATTTTTCTTTAGACACCGACCATGTTTTTTAAAAGAACCTGAGTTCCATTTTCACAAGCGCATAAGAGCCTGGCTTTTGTTTACTTTCAGTGGCCCCTCACGAGCCAGGCTGTCAAAAGCATTTACTGTAGATGTCTAATGACACAAATAGCTGGACAGCGAGCCTTTCTAAAGGCCTATACCCCAACTAATCCCCAGAGCTGCTCTCACACTTGAAAATCCTACCAGGCACCTAAGTTTCCTCTAAACTGTGGGGCTGCACAGCTTCACATTAAGCCCTGCTCAGGGTATCCGTGTTGGAGCAGGGAGAGACCCCTCTCTCTAAGTCCTGATGCTGATGAGGGGTGCCCTCTGCCTCAGCTTAGAGCTGAAGTGGCTAGCGGAGCACCCAGGTAAGCTCAAGATCCAACGCCTTGCCCCACCTAGTGCCCCTTCCAGCCCTGAGTACCCTCCTGCTCCCCAAAGCCCTCATCCCTGGCCCTACCCCAAAGCCCACACTCCCAGCCCAGAGCCTGTACCCTCTCCTGCACTCCAACACCCAGCCCATAGCCCTTCCCCAAACCTGGATCTCCCTCCTGTACCTCAAACCCCTCATCCCTAGTGCCATCCCAGAGCCTACACCCCCAGCCAGAGCCCTTGCACCCCAACCCTCTTTCCCAGCCCTGAGCCCCTCAGCTCAGCCTCACTCTGGAACCTGCATCTCTAGGTGGAGCCTTCACACTCCTGCACCCCAACCTTCTGCCCCAGCTCTGAGCCCCTTCCCACACTCAGAGCCCCTTGACCCCACTCCCACCATGTGAATTTTTTTATGTGCACCAAATGAAGATGATGTCACAGCACCTTCGTGTTGCACAGCACCTCCGCACTGATGCACATAAGAACATTCTGCTCAGGAGTGGGAAAAATTACAGGGAACGCTGCCAGGCACCTAGCTACATCTTTTACATATCTAAATACCTGTGAAAAATCAAGTCCCAATCCATGTTGGCAATTTAAAACCTTCTGATTTGGGACAGATTTCCTTCCCTCAAACCTCCTCACCACCACTGATGTCAAAGAGGGTTTTTCTGAAGGTGCCAACAGCATCTCCAGATGGCCTTGTGTCTCTCTCTTCTTTTGCTCACTGCTTTGTCTCTTTTACTTGATTTTTTTTATACCTTTACCCAAGCTAGTGCCTGTGCCATGGGCCTTGCTCATGGATTAATAGGAAGATAGCATATCCTTGTTTTGTGTGTATGATTTTATTTTTCTCCCTGCACGTGGGGTGAATCTGTGAGGGGACAATGGAAGTTTACCCCTGTGGTCCAAAATCAAGCATTCCATGCTGAGCTGTCAATACCTAAGAGTTCATTGACTGAATATCTCTGTTCCATTTTGACTTGGTTCTAATATTCCATATAATATTCCAGAATTGCCACTTATTGTCTAGGATGCAAAGCAAAACATAGGGGAATCTGAATACCATTACAACAGATTGACTTCATTTGTGACAGTGGCTTCTTATCCCATTGTGTGGATTTGCAGAGGGCTCCAGGTTTGTTTTCCATCTCCATGCAAATTTTAAAAAATTACAATCACCACTTGGAAGAAGAGCCTGAAGAAAATGAGTGTTGCATGTAACTTTTCTACTAAGCTGGGGAAATAGACGTAATGCAGTGCCCAGGAATGTAGAATAGCAGGTGCCATGCAGCACAGAAGAGCAACAACTGCCTAATGCTTTTGATTTCTGGATATTTGAGGCAGGGGAAGGGGAGACGTGAGAAACAGAGACAGTGTTTTATGTACATTTTACTGTATATTTTAATTTACATTTACTGCCATTATTGTAGACACTAGGGCTGTGTCTAGACTGGCCAGTTTTTCTGGAAAATCAGCTGCTTTTCCGGAAAACTTGCCAGCTGTCTACACTGGCTGCTTGAAATTTCTGCAAAAGCACTGACTTCCTACTGTAAGAAATCAGTGCTTTTTACGGAAATACTATGCTGCTCCCGTTCGGGCAAAAGTCCCTTTTGCGCAAAACTTCTGCGCAAAAGGGCCATTGTAGGCAGCTGAGATTTGTTTTCCGCAAAAAAGCCCCAATCGCAAAAATGGCGATCGGGGTTTTTTTGCACAAAAGCGCGACTAGATTGGCCACGGATGCTTTTCTGCAAAAAGTGCTTTTGTGGAAAAGCGTCCGTGCCAATCTATACGCGCTTTTCTGAAAATGCTTTTAACGGAAAACTTTTCCGTTAAAAGCATTTCCGGAAAATCATGCCAGTCTAGACGTAGCCTAGTAGAGACTATACTTGCTGCCATCAGGGTCTGAACAGAATTGTGGTTTCGTTTTTCAAAAGTAACTTAAGAACTGTGTGTAACTTTCGTCTTGATAATCTTCAAGCTGCTTTGAATGGAAGGCAGCAATTTCAACACAAAGCTGCCCAAAACTTCATCATCTGATAGGTTTCATGCTCTTTTCCCATGACCTTGCTTCGAATTGACCCCCTCGAGTGACACTTTTGAAGAATTAAAAGCAACATGGTATCAGTACTTTTATATAAAATGTTCACATGCACATTGATTATATGCACATTGGCCAAACAGCCTCTCTTTCTGTTGCTAACAAGCAAAAATTCTCTTGAAAAAAAAAAAACCACAGTGCAAAAGGAGGAAGTAAGGGACTGTTCTAAACTGAGTGCAAAGAGCTAGTCTTCCTCTTTGTTTCCTACCATCTTGTCTCACGGTGGTGTTCTAACAAACAGCAGCAGGATAAACTTAGGTGGATTAATTAAATCCTCGCACGTGCAAGGTTTATTTTTTCAGACTCAAAAGCCTTTTGTTTGGCACTAATTTTGAGCTTATTTGGAATACTGCTTTTGGCTTGTTCCAGCAGGAAATAAATCAATTCAAACTTCTTGGTGTCTTCATCTGCAAAAGTAAGTGTTTCATGTATATTATGGTAAAGTATAATTAGGAGCAGTAAAAACATAAGCAATAGTTCAGGGGAAATTTGGGGAACCAGACTGTGAAGGGGAAGTAGAGGAAAAGCTAGGTAATTTGAACTATTAATACAATTGGTTATTTTTCTACCAGAACCATCTTATCTGCTATTTTCAGCCATTAAGGAACTGCTGCACTACAGCTTGTAGTATTCTAGCAATTTTTGACCTCGCTAAAAACTTTCATTAACTAGTCCTAGAGATTGCAGAAAAATGAATAGTTCTGGTCTTTCTTGAGATCTACATTTATGATATTGTCTCCGTAACAGAGAACCAACAGATGCCATTTTTCTGGAAGAGTGAAAAGTAAGGCCAGTATGATTTAAAAATTCCAGATCGCTCTTCTAGTATTTGTTTTATTCCAAGTGGTGTTCATCAGTTACAAGTATACAATGCATGCCTGGATGCAGTGCCAGAGAAAGTGGCCTGGTAGTAAAGGAAACATAGAAAACATGGTCTGCAGAGCAGCAAACACTCTCCACCTCCCACAACACAATTAAGGAACTGAAATAGAAAAAAGATTCCAAATGCATTCACGTGCCCCCATGATGTTAGTGCAGGCAGTTGTCTGGGACGTGTACAGACATCCAGAGGTGGGAGGGGAGTTGTTTAGCACTGAAACTTACTGTATCAAATTTTTGAGCTTTTTGCTGGAGCCGGGGTACTCAAACTTACTGGCCCACCAAGCCACATACAATAATCTTCACAGATGTGGCAGGGTGGTGGGGTCACAGGGCACCAAATCCTGACAGGGGCCTTCCAAGGGGCTGGAGCTCTGAGCCCCCCTCCATTGGGCAGAAATCCTGCACCCCACTGCGGGGCAGAAGCCAAATAGGAAGGAGTGGTGGGTATCCTGAGCTGCACTATAATTGTAAAAGAATCACACTGGGCTCACGAGCTGCAGTTGGGCCACTAGATTGTAATGCGGAGCCTGATCCAGAATGCAACGTAATTATAATAACTAATGATCTTCTGAAATGCTGAGGCCCTCAGTTCTCAGCTGAGCCGATCATTGAGCCCGAAGAGTGTATTTACGTTTGCTGCCACCAATTTTTAATCTCAGGCCTGTTCATGCATGACGTCAGGAACTTCCTGTGACAGGCGGAGATCTGCAACCCCTGTAGCAGTAGGTGCTCAGAATCTTGCCAGTTTGTCAGACATTTGTATGAGGTCCTCCCTGGTTTTCCAGCATGTCCACACAGCTCCTTAATCAATCAGAGTCAGGGTTCCCAGGACCCAACCCCACAGCATTCTGCACCCAGGTTGTCAACTGCCTAATCGCACAAACCCAAGCGCTCTTGCTCTCCAGGGCACCATTTTGGGAGGCCAGGAGGGCAGCAGCCCCCGTCCCCCTGTCAGGGAGTGAGGGGAAAGGACGTGGCCTCTGTGCATGCCTCTCACTCCTGGCTGGTGAAGGGAGGGGGCAGGGGATTAAATCCTGGAATGCAAGTACTTTCCCTTTGCTCCCTGATAGTCAGGGGAACGGGAAGAAAAGGAAGCTGCGTCCCGGTGCGCACGGCTGCTGCCCCACTATGCCTCCCGAAATGGCGCCCTTGCTTGCTCTGCCCCTACCCCACCCTTTCTCCAGTCTCCATCACTACTCCAGCCCCCTCCCTCCATTGCGCGTTATCCCCCACCCTCACTCACTTTCCCTGGATTGGGAGTGGGAGGAGAGGCTGGCTGGGGGCTGGAGCTGAAGGGCTCAGAATGTGGAAGGGGACTCCAGGATGAGTCTGGGGCAGGTGGTTGGGGTGCCAGAGGAGGTGCAGGATTTGGTTTCCTTCGGGAGTTTGGGTGCAGGACGGGAGTTTGAGGTACAGGCTCTCGGTTGGACTTTGGGTGTGGGAGGGGACTCAGGGCTAGGGGAAGGTGCAGGAGGAGGTGTGGGATGCAGGCTCTGGGCAGGCTCATGCTGAGTGGTGCCTGAAAGTGCCATCCTGTCCCTCCAGCTCCTAAGTTGGGGGCAGCCAGGCAGCTCTGCATGTGGGTACTGGCTCCAGGGCTCCCATTGGCCATGGTTTCTAATGGGAGCTGTGGAGTCAGTGCTTGAGGCAAGGTCAGCACACGGAGACTCCTTGACTGCCCCTGCACCTACATGCTGCAGGGACATGCTGGCTGTTTCCAGGAGCTGTGAGGAGCCAGGGGAAGCAGGGAGCCTGCCTTAGCCCACTGCACTGCCAGCTGGACTTTTGGCCCATTGAAATATCCCAGGTTGCTTTCAATAGTAACTGGGAGATTGAGGCTGATTCCAGGAGACTCGTGGACCATCTGGAGGGGGTTGGCAACCCTATTGTGAACCCTTGTAGGCGTGGGGAGTGAGAGAGTGGCAAATACAGGCACTGTGCAGGATAGCAGAGAGTCCCTGAACTGTACAGTCTAATAGACAAGGCAGACACCTGGAGGGGAATACGCACACACCGCGTGACCAGTATGGCAGTGGCCAATGTCTTGTTTGTGCTGTAATTTCTCCAGCCATCCCTTTTTGGGGGGTTTCGGTAGAAGGAAGTTTGGTAACTGGAAAGAAAAGTGGCGAGGGAAGGAACACTGTGGTGAAGGAGGAGGGGAAGGCAGGACAGGGTGAGGATGAGGGCAAGAAGGGCAGATGTGGTATGGCACAGCATCCTCATTCCTCTGGTGAGTTAGTCATACAGTGGGTCCCAGCTCAGCAGGGAGGGCAACTTCCACAGGGCCGCTCCACCCACCCCACTTCCTGTGCAGATTGACAGGCCAGGAGAGGAAATGGGCTGCCCCTGACTGTCCGCATTGCTGAGCTAGTGTGGGGGGAGGTAAGTATGCCTGGTCTCAGGTTAGAGTAGATTTCTTCCCTCACAGGACCAAGGGTGGGAGAATAGAAATCAAATGGCGACTGTTACTGAGTCCCAGTTCAGTCTCTAATCTGAGCCTCGGGCATGTCCACCAACATGGTGGTGGTGGGGGGGGAGGGCACACAGGGCGTAAATGGCCTAGGGCCTGGTGATCCCAGTTGCCACTGCTGTGATAGCAATGGTGGCTGGAGCCATGCACTCCAGGCAGCTCTAATGATTTAGGGGTGAGAGGCGTCACATTCAGGACAGCACGGAGGCCTTGTCTCTTCTGGGAGTGTGGAGCTAGCTTCCACCCACCATGCCCAGAGGCTTGTGGAGGCTGTCAGCTCCCCTGATGCTCCTTACTAAAGGCTGTAAGGAAATCTCTGTCTCAAGAGCCCCCCCACAACCACTCTGTGGTAAGAGTTACTCTCTCCCGGTCAGATGAAGAAACTGTGATGCCAGTGTCCAAACTCTCAAAGGTGCTGTCTGATTTTGGAGCTTCCCCCATATCCCATGTGTGTTTTTAATTACTAGCCTGCTAATAGAGAGACCCAGAGTTGTTGACAGTCTAAGTTATTTTCAGCCATAAATATTAAAGGAAGTGTACCCGATTAACTGAGACAATTACAGGAAGAGAAAACACTTCTAGGAGTTTGAAGAAAGATTTTGAAAAGCAAAAGTGGCAGTTAGACACCTAACCCCCATTGCCTTTCAAGTTAGGGGTGAGGACTTTCAACTCTAATTGCCACTAGTACATATGAAAATCTTCCACTCAATTATATTTTTCATTTCCCATGGTCCAGTGTTCAAGTAGTTCTGTTCTTACTCTCATGTAGGCAGTAAAATGCTCCATTTCTTGTACAGACTTGTAATTATTTTATTTTTGTCAACTGTATTTCTAGAGCTGGCATTTGGTTTTGCAACCATTGTGATGAAATGCATTCCCTCCAGTCACTTTGTGTCTATTGTGTTGGGCAAGACTGATGAGAGAAAATATCTAATCATAGTTTTCTGTTAGTATTGTCTTGCTAAGCATATTTTAGAAAGAGAAATCAAAGTCTGTACAATACTAAAATACAACAAATGTACTTTTCTTATAATGGAGGCCAGATAAGTATGTGAGATGGATTCTAAGGGGACCGTCCCAATGCTAGTTGGAACTTTAAGTTATCAAAGCAAGAGACAGTACCTCAAAGGTCTTCCATGTCAGATATACAATGCTATTTGCAATGGATCTCTCACCTGTTGATTATACTGCTTTCCTGGTCTCACAGTGTGACTGACTTTTTAAGAGTGTACCCCACTTTCCTTTAAATTTACTTCTTCCCCCATTGATTACACAATAGCACTGTTAAAACAATAAGTGTCATTTAAATGTTTTAGATATTTTCTACATTTTCAAAAATATTGGAATTTCAACTCCAGTTTCACTTAATATTTTCTATTACAAATTTCCATTGTAAATAGCAAAAGAAATGTATTAGTTAAATTGAAAAAATACTGAGTACTGTAGTGAAATCTCCTTATCATGGAAGTTGAACTTACAAATGTAGACTTATGTACAAAAAAAGCCCCTCTGAATTCAGAAACAAAACAACGTCAAACTTTGGAGCCTACAAGTTCACTCAGTCCTACTCTTTTTTTCAGCCAATTGCTCAGCAAAACAAGTTTGTTTACATTTGCAAGAGAGAATGCTGCCTTTTTTGTGTGTGTACAATGTAACCTGAAATATGCCTCAAGGACCAACTTGCATCCATGCTGATGATGGTTTCTGCTCAATAACAATTCAAAGCAATGCAGATGGATGCATGTTCATTTTCACCAGCTGAGTCAGAAGACTGATTTTGTGGGGTTCTGTATATTCTGGATCTGAGTGTTGCTTTTTTAAGACTTCTGCAAGCATGCTCCACTCTTCGTCCCATTCAGATTTGGAAGACACATCAGATTCTTAAACTTAGTGCAGCAAGATCCTCACACAGGCCCCTCTCCCTGGCACACTTTCTTTGTCCACAAATCAGCCAGAAATCCTTTCTTGTGCAGTCACCTGTGCCTTTTATTGTCAGTTCCCATCACCTTCTATTTACAGAACTTTGGATTACAGCAAGCTCAGTCAGCCACTCCTTGCCTGGGGTACATACTCAGCTACACACTTTCTCCTTGCGCCTCTCTGGTTGCTTTATTTAACCCTCTGGCTAATTAGGCCTACAGCTGCTTCCATTAGCCCTTCAGGCCTGGGCTTGCTCAGCTGTGTGCAATTGGCCTTTTCAGCCAGGCCGTAGTGGCAGAGCTCTGGCTTAGCTAGCAGTCTGTCACATTAGTTGCAGCACTTGGCCCTATCTTTAGAAATCTCACATTGGGATGTTTGTGTTTTGTGAAATCTGCAGTGAAAGTGTTATTAAAATGTGCTGGGTCATCAACCAAAACTTCTATACCATGAAATATATGGCAAAATGCAGGCAAAACAAAGCAGGAGACATACAATTCTCCCCCAGGGAGTTCACACACAAATGCAATGCATTTTTTAAATGAGTGTCATCAGCAGGGAAGCATGTCTGCTGGAAGGGGGTCTGAAGATCACGGGGCATATGAATGTTTAGTATATGGGGCACATAAATGCCTTGTTTTCAGGTGACATAGTAAATAAGAAGTGGGAAGTATTATCTCCCATAAATGTAAACAAAATTATTTGTCTCAGCAATTGGCTGAACAAGAAGTAGGACTGAGAGGACTTGTAGGCTCTAAAGTTTTGCACAGTTTTGTTTTTGAGTGAAGTGTAACAAAAATAATCTGCTTTTGTAAGTTGCACCTTCACAATAAATTGCACTACAGTGCTTGTATGAGGTGAATTGAAAAGCTTTATTTCTTATCATTTTTACAGTTCAAGTTGTGTTAAAATCATATACCGAGCACTGTACAATCTGTATTCTGTGTTGTACCTGAAATCATATTTGAAAATGTAGGAAAACAACCAAAATATTTATTACATTTAAATTGGTATTGTATTATTCAAGAGAGCAATTAAAACGGTTATTAATCACGATTCATTTTTAAAATTGCAATTAATTGTGTTGAGTTACTTGCAAGAATTAACTGGAATCAACTGACAGCCCTAACTGGAGCATATGATTTTAATATCCCAATTTTTTAGCTTGCATATTGTGATTGCAAATGTTATCCAACCCCTTAATATCCAGTTACAGTATATGATGTGATTTGCTGCTATAGTGAATTTAAATTTACTTACCATTGGTGTAATCAGGAGGGCTGACAGACTTGCCAGGTCCCTGGTCAAGGTGTGTGGGGGCAGCTCCTTGCTCCTAGAAGGGGTGGGGCCTCCTGTGGAAGGGCAGTGTTGAGGGGGTCAGTACTGCCGAGGGCATGCCTCACAGAGCTTTAAGGGGCCCAGGGCTCCAGCTGCTGCCACTGCAGCAGTAGCAGCGACCAGGAGCTCTGGGCCCTTTTGAATTGTCAGACCCCGGGGCAGTTGCCTCCTTTGCACCCCTCTGTTGGCAGGCCTGAGTATCATAAGGTAACCTCTTGCTCTTACACTATGGGACAAAATAAAGACTTCTCTGTTTTTAACGATACACTTAAAAATCTTGGTCTCCTTTAGCTCTTTACTATGCCTGATTAAGCAAGCCTAGTTTTCTCAGCTTCTATGTTATATATAAAAACTTACATTAAAACAATGTTAAGGCTGCAAAGTCAAGTACTTAATATTAGGAAATTTTAGAATTGAGTTTGTATGGACACTTATTCTGCTTTCCCTGATATATTTAAAATGTTGAAGGGTACAATTCTAGGTGGTATTCTAGTGATTAGAGTGTCCTCTGCCTTTCTGCCCTTAAACTGTTCCTGTCCCTCTTTGCTCCTAGCCAATCCACCTCACACCTTTCCCTGTGTTCTTATCCAGTTTTGAAAATCTCTTTCATAGTCTTCCATATGTTAAGAAACACTTTGATTTGATCTCCTTTATGTGTTGTGGTTCCATTTTACTTGAGGACAGCGGTGGTTGGAAAGTGAAATAATGTCAGAGCTTGCACTTTTTTGAACTTCCTACTAAAATACATAAAGTCTTTTATATCTGCTAAGTACATCAGAAGCAGGAAGCCTGTTAAACAACCAGTGGGCCCCCTGGATGATCAAGATGCTAAAGGAGTGCTCAAAGATGATAAAGTCATTGTGGTGAACCTAGATGTATTCTTTGCTTCAGTCTTCATGGCTGAGCATATTAGGGAGATTCCCAAACCTGAGCCATTCTTTTTGGGTGACAAATCTGAGGAATTGTCTCAGATTGAGATTTTGTTAGAGGAGGTTCTGGAACAGATTGACAAACTTAATAGTAACAAGTCACCGGGACCAGACGGCATTCACCCAAGGATTCTGAAAGAACTCAGAAATTGTGAAATTGTGGAACTATTAATTGTGGTTTGTAACCTGTCCCTTAAATCAGCTTCCATACCTAATGACTGGAAGATAGCTAAGGTGACTCCAATATTTAAAAAGGTCTCTAGCGGTAATCCTGGCAATTACAGACCGGTGAGCCTAACATAAGTACCGGGCAAATTAGCTGAAACTATAGTAAAGAATAAAATTGTCAGACACATAGACAAACATAATTTGTTGGGGAAAAGTCAACATGGTTTCTATAAAGGGAAATCATCCCTTACTAATCTACTAGAGTTCTTTGAGAGGGTCAACAAGCATGTGGACAAGGGAGATCCAGTGGATATAGTATATTTAAATTTCCAGAAAGCATTTGACAAGGTCCCTCACCAAAGGCTCTTAAGCAAAGTAAGTTCTCATGGGATAAGAGGGAAGGCCCTCTCATGGATTGAGAACTGGTTAAAAGATAGGAAACAAAGGGTAGCAATGGTAAGTTTTCATACTGGAGAGAGGTAACTAGTGGTGTCTCTCAAGGGTCAGTCCTGGGACAAATTCTATTCAACTTATTCATAAATGATCTGGAGAAAGGGGTAAACAGCGATGTGGAACAATTTGCAGATGATACTAAACTGCTCAAGACCAAAGCACACTCTGAAGAGCTTCAAAAAGATCTCACCAAACTAAGCGATTGGGCGACAAAATGACATGAAATTTAATGTTGATAAATGTAAAAAAAATGGAAAAAATAATCCCAACTATACATACAATATGATGGGGACTAATTTAGCTACAACTACTCGAGAAAGATCTTGGAGTCATTATGGATAGTTCTCTGAAAACATCTAGTCAGTGTGTAGCGGCAGTCATAAAAGCAAACAGAATGTAGGAATCATTAAAAAAGGGATTGAGAATAAGACAGAGACTATCTTATTGCTTCTGTGTGAGCAAACCATGGTATGCTCACATCTTGAATACTGCATACAGATGTGGTCGTTCCATCTCAAAAAAGATATACTGGCATTAGAAAAGGTTCAGAAAAAAGCAACAAAAATAATTAGGGGTTTGGAACAGGTCCCATATGAAGAGAGATAAAAAAGACTGGGACTTTTCATCTTAGAAAAGAGGAGACTAAGGGTGGATATGCTAGAAGTATATAAAATCATGACTGATGTGGTAAAAAGTGAATAAGGAAAAGTTAGATAAGAAGTAGGGGTCACCAAATTAAATTAATGGGTAGAAGGTTTAAAACAAAAGGAAGTTCTTCTTCATGCAGTGCACAGTCAACCTGTGGTACTCCTTGCCAGAGGATGTTGTGAAGACTAGGACAATAACAGGGTTAAAAAAAGAGCTAGATAAATTCATGGAGGTTAGGTCCATCAATGGCTATTAGTCGGGAATGGTGTGCTGGCTTCTGTTTGTCAGCGGCTGGAAACGGATAACAGGAGAAGGATCACTTGATGATTATCTGTTCTGTTCACTCTCTCTGGGGCATCTGGCACTGGCCACTGTCGGCAGAGAGGATACTGGGCTAGACAGACCTTTGGTCTGACCCAGTATGTCCGTTCTTATGTTCTTATGCTATGTTCTTGGTTTATTCATCTCAAACAGTTAAGTACTGACTGTCTTGTAACTTGTTGCTGAAGCATTTATCATCTGAACTGAAATAGGATTTTGCTGATCTAATTCAGATTAAGCAAAATTGACTGGGGTTAAGATTTGTTTTAATACTGTAGCTCTAATCTTCTATAGAAAAAAGAGGAAAATACTCTAACTTCATTTTAATATATGTTAAAATGAATATATGTTCCTGCATATTTAAAGGTAGGTCACTCACAAACACTTCAAAAATTTCTGAAAGAATTAATTTCATTTGGTGCACATTCCCTTATCAGTATTCATTTTGCTCTACCACATTTTGATTTTTTTTTAATTTTCTAGGAGAAAAAATAATACCATGGAGCCACACGTTTTCACTGCTTTTGCACAGCCTGATATAAAGAATGACATTGCTCCAGGTATGTGTATTATGCACCAGTGAAGAAAGAGTGAGAAGGGATCCAAAGAATAAAAAACAAAACAAAACAAAACAAAAAAAACTCCTTACAAATGGATCTCACTTGTTTTACAACTTTATTTTCAGTTTAATCAAGTAAGTAACCTTTCTGCATGGAATTCAGTCTCCAACTCTCCATAGAAATGTTATGAGGCGTCAATGCAAGTTTCCACTATTCCTCTAAGTGGGGCTTACATTTCACACAAAAGAACCAAACCAAATTGTGTTTTTGTTTATTTTTAGAAAGTGCCTCTTAGGTCTTATTGATTTGAATTCTCTGGAAAGATCATTTCTAACAGGCAATTGTAATGATCCGATATGCCGTTTTCTCCCTCGTAGAGAATCTATAAAATTACAAGTTAGCAAACTTTTTCATGCTGCAATTAGCCGAATGGGGTAATATTGAACTGATGGCAGTTGTTATAGAAAGCTCACATGAGTCACATCAGAGAATTGAAATAGATATTGTTCACTTCTATTTATAGGGGAGAAGAGGAAATTCTTAAGTCCTGCCTCCTGCCAGAATGCTAAATTGGAAGAACTAAAAATGGTATTTCTTTTTACTAAATTATTATTTGCACAGACCCTTGTTTTTTAAATGCTTTGTAATCAGTTCCCATTGTGTAAATTACTGAACACAGTAGCCCTAATCCAGCAAAGTACTTAAGCGGGTTAGTAATCCCATTGACATCAAAAGTACTGTGAACAAGCATAAAGGTAAAGCAGGTGCTTCCAAGTACTTTGCTGGGTCTGTGTCCAAGTGCTTAGCACTTGGCTGAATCAAGTCTCAGATGCTTAACTCGGACAGAACAAGACTTTTGCTGTTATGTGAAGGGGAATGTGATTTTAGCATTTGAGAGGGGTTTCCCCCCTGATCCATGTTCAAAGGGTCCAGTTGGGTAACATCTGAGCCTCAAATATCCAAGGGTTATTTCATTGTAAAGAAAATGGCCATGCAATATCAAAGAAGAGTCTAACAAACAAAAAACAAATCACCTGTCAACATTTGCTGCTAATAAGGACTAACCCTTAAACCAACTTGGGTTTGCTGCCCCATGCATGTGATAGGAATATAGGAATTGATACACTGGTTCAGAGCAGTGGTATATTTAATTTAGTATCTTTTCCAGATGGCTGGGGAGGGGGGAGCAAATAGGCTGCCAAGACTTATTGAACTAAAGATAAAATGCGAAGTGCTTAAAGCAAGAAGTGAGTAGTAAACCGCTTCAATTTATTCTTTTTCTCTTTTCCTATCTGTTTTTTTGCTCCTGTATTTTCAGATACACTTTGTAGTGCTGCCCAGGGAGACCCTGGTAGCTAGAGGTAAGGCAATGTTGCCTTAGCTGTAGGGTAGGGACATGGCTGTTAAAAGATAAGCCAAGTGAGCAAGAAAGCTTGTGGCTCTATTTTTAGCAGTGCAGCTCCTGAGTTTATGCCACTGCCCTCAGCTTGCCAGTTCAAACAACGCTAATCCAATGTATCATCAGAACTTGAATTTTAGGCATGAGGGGAAAATAACCACAGTTCACTGAGTGGAATCCCGCTCTCTTAACTTGGAATGAGCATTCCACACTTTTTGAGAGCTCATCAATATACAGCAGAGAGGTTTTTTAGGTTCTTGTGAATTTTCAAACATCTCATAAGGGGTTTCACTTTCATTGTATATATTTTTCTTTGAGAAGCATGTCTTCAAAGACACAATATGGACTGTAATGTTTCAGGCAGCAGAACAGTCTAATGAGAGCAAAAAGGACTTATTCAGGATTCCGTTCACCCCTGTACAGAGAAGCAGCACAAAGCTGCTATGCCAATTAAGCCCTCCAAGTAGGACAGGCATGAGCACGGACCATGTAACTGGGGCCCTCCAGAACTAAAAGCATGAGTTGAAGAGCCAAATCTCTAGCTGGGCAGTAGCAAACTAACATCCTCTGCAGTTCAAGCACAGAAGGGCACATGCATTCACCAGTGGGTTTCACTGGTTTTCTGCACAAAATAAATTCTCCCCATTAGCCAGTTAAAATTCCAAAGTGCTGAAACATATTCCGTCAGCCACAGCAGATGGGACACAATCGGATCACCTTCTTTTCCCACACGAAGAAGTGTTACACTACACATTGTGAATATGCCACCTCAGTTGAAAATGATGTGGGTGGGGGCTGAGAATGAAAATGGAGAGAGAAGAGCTAGAAAGCGAAGACAGGGGAATGTTACTGTGTTGAAAGACTAAGTTATAATTTAAAAAGGAGAGACTCCATAGAGGATGAAAACAAAAGACTAAGATGAAGGCACACCCCTGTGATGGTAAAGTATTATTTATTTTCTCATTTTCTTTCCAACAACAGATATATCTTTGTTGACTGTTTGATTTTTCTTTGCAGTCCTTGATAGATTGGATTAATGCAACCCTGAAACATGAACACATAGTAGTAAAAAGCCTGGAAGACGACCTGTTTGATGGACTTATACTTCATCATCTTTTGAGTAAGTTCCTTCTTTGAGCTCTGCTCCCTAACAAAACTTGCAATATCTTCAGTGCAGAAACTTATGGACAAAACGAAAACAAACACACTAAACTGTAAGAATAGCTTTGCTTGCTAGTATCTTACTACTTATTAATTAATGACTCTTGCACTCAAATAGAGAGGAGTACTGCTTTGTGAACCGTATGTGGTAATTATGATCCTGAATAAATGCTTTATCTTTTTATTCCATTGTTTATATAGAGAGTAATAAAATTAACTTTGAAGCCTCAGGTTATAATGCCTCCAAGAGATGCTGATGACATTATAAACCATGACAATGAATATGACTTAAGATATTATCACAAATACTAGCTGGAATCACCTCTACAGTTATAAATATTTTTTAAAAAACCCATAGACTGATATCCCAGGCCAGAACTTCAACTTCTGTAAATCAAGTGGCTCTGTTTACTTCAACAGAGTAATATCAATTTTATACTAGTTGAATGTTTGGCCTCTCGAATCAATGCCCTGCCTACAGTTATGGTCTACCATTCATTCCATCCCTCTAATCAGTGCTGTTTTTACCCTCTTCTCCACTCTGCTTTGATTGCAACTGGCTTGGGCTTCATCTCTTAATCTGCGGCTGCTGATTGATCAAATCTGGTAAATCATGGCAGTGCTATCAGGCTCGTTAATAGGAGTGGCTTTTGTATATGGTTGGGGTCTGTAAGGTCGCAATGATGAATAAAGATGTTTTTCTTTTTATATGAATTGCTATTTGCCTGCCTCTCTCTCTCTCTTTCTCTCACACACACGCACAATCTATACAGCATATTCCTGCAGTTCCCACTGGTAAAACTCAGAGTATAGATGGCTTGTGGCTAAAAGTTCATCTGCAGTTTGTGGCCCCAAACCTGCAATCACAGCCATGTGTGTAGCCTACTTGACATCAGTGAGATTCTGCATGAACCCATGGGAGTACCTGTGCAAATGCAGATGCAGGCTACGGATCTGCGTTCTATAATTTATTAAATTACACTGAACACTTGCATCAAGCCTTTTTTGGAATTTCTGTTATGGTGATGTGTTGTTTCTATGGTGCTGTTAAAATGCATCCATCTTGTTTTATTTTAACTACTCTTCCTCTCAGAAAAACTAGGCTCTCTGAAGTTGGACGTTGAAGAAATTGCACTGACAGAAAAAAAGCAAAAACATAAACTTGCCGTTGTTCTGGAGGCTGTGACCCAGTGTTTACGACTAGAAGAGAGCCAGCTGAAATGGAGTGTTGACAGTATGTGCAGAAGTAAAATGCAAGGATATTATCTCATAAAAATACATTGTTCTGGGTTTTTACTGGGCTAAGAGGATGCTAAAGGAAAGATGATCTTGGGGTTAAGGCATTGAAATATAATCAGGAACTGAACCCAGTTCTTATATGTCTAACAGCCTATTTGTCCTTGAACAGGTCTCTTTTAATCTTTCTGTGCCCTGTTTCCACAGCTGTAAAATAGGAGTATCTACCCTGCCTCGCAAGCATATTTGGAGGGATATGCCAAGTTTTGTTTTTCGAAGCACTGGAATTTTCTCCGATGGCAGGCACAATGCAGCATTTTCCCCAGAAATTGAAATGGGGGAGGATGGGTATTTGAATTTACAGGGTGATGTCAGAGTCATGAGGGGTGAAAATATGAGGGTGCAGGTGGACTGTATGATAAATGTAAATCGATTCACATTGGAAATAAAGATGTTAGATAGCGGGTAAAAGAATAGTCGACTAACTGCATGAATCTTTAGCAGTTAGTCAACTATTCTATAGTCGCCGGGGGCGGGGACGACAGCTAGTGTGCTCTGACAGTGTTGTGGAGTTCAGAGGCACTTTCACATGGATTCGCCTCCTAAGAGGGCAGGGTGGGGAAGGTACCTTGATTGTTTTTCCAGCGCTCATTGCTCACTCTGGCCACTGTTGGTCATTGTGCCACTGTTCACTCCATTGCTAATGGCCCTGAGCCATCACCTTCTGTTGCTTCCTGCCACTGTGACCTCTGCAAGTCGGTCTCTTGAGGTTCCAGCTGTCAGTGAGGGGACCATGCTCCAGTGCAGTCTTCCACAGACACATGGACCCAGAGCACTTAGACCTGACTATCAGTGATTTCCCCTCAAGTGGAGAGGGGCAGGTCATATGATTCTTAGTGCATCAAGCAAAACACCTGTTTCCACCCTCTCTCCTCCGGGATCTGGCATCTAACCTCTTCCCCTATCCCGCTTAGCCAGTGCATTTGAATTGTAGGAGGCCCCCTCACTCAGGGCAGACTAAGTACAGTTCTATGGCCTCACACAATAAGGGTAAGAACATTTCATTATCCCGGCAGTCAAGTGTTTTGTAAGCCAATACCAGCCAAAACTGATCACTTGGGCAATAGGCTATGTAACTAGTTGACCACTGAGGAGGGGGGCGTTGGGGAAATTCATGGTGGTGTACATCCTCCCTAGGGGTAGTCTGGGGAAAGCCATGGCACAAAAGGAATACAAAGTATTGCTATTAGGCTGTAATGAATTTGCACTATTTATAATTTGCTTTCTTTACAGCTATCTTCCAGAAGGACTTACTGAGCACTCTGTATCTTCTAATTGCAATAGCAGAGCACTTCCAACCTGCTCTGGCTATTCCTTCCAATATTAATGTGGAAGTAATAACCATTGAGGTAATTATGATTCTTTCCTTAGCTCTGTGACCCACAGCAGCAATCTCACAAGAAATTTAAAAAAATACTATGGGAAAAAAAGTGTGGTGTATATCACTGTATACCTGTTGTGCTTTTGTTGTCTGTGTAATGCCCCGTTTTACTTTCTAGAAATCTGTTTTGGCAGGAATAAGCAGCCATTTGATGTTTAATTCAGAGGTAGCATTCTTCAGAAGCTACAATTACTATGCTTTCTTATAGAGACTTTATAGGTTTTTGCTGTTTCCACGTAATGCTAAATTAGGGGTATTCAGACTGAAAATAGAGAGTTGCTCTTGATGGATGGAAAATTATAACAATTATTGTCCCAATTGTTCAAAATTTGTTTGCCCTGCAATATCATGAATTTGGCCTAAAATCACTTTTTTAGTTTGGAAGATTTACTTTTTTAATGTGGGTGTTTTATTTACTTTCTGATTTTTATGACTTTAGGGTACACTTGGGTCACATTTTCAAGCTTTTCTCCAGAGCTCTGAGGGGGGCTAGGAAATTACCTTTTAAAATTTCATTTACGAAATGAAAACTGAGATTCTTACATAGTTACATGACCCTAGGCCCTGGGGCTCTAAGAAAAATTTCACATATCCCACAACTTATGATATAATTGTGAAAGTTGGCAACACCGAGTCAGATTTTTAATTCTACATCCTTTTTCAAACTCTGTTTGGAGGGCTGCACATGGGGTGCATATGTCTTAGGTTTGCTCTCCTGTATATCGAGGAGGATTTAAAAAGCTTTATTGTATGGCTAGCTTCTGACAGGAAGATCAGGTTTTGACCACACAAGATACTGAGCAATCTGACCCAAATCCATGTATACACAAATTGTTCCACTGATGTCAACAGAACTACATAAAGAATTACTTTTTAAACACATGAAGCAAAATGCAGGACAATGTAGCACTTTAAAGACTAACAAGATGGTTTATTAGATGATGAGCTTTCGTGGGCCAGACCCACTTCCTCAGATCAAATAGTGGAAGAAAATAGTCACAACCATATATACCAAAGGACACAATTAAAAAAAGTGAACACATAGGAAAAGGACAAATCAAATTTCAGAACAGAAGGGGGATGCAGGAGGCGGGGGGGATGTTTGTGAGTTAATGGTATTAGAGGTGATAATTGGGGGAGCTATCTTGGTAATGGGTAAGATAGTTTGAGTGTTTGTTCCTTCCTTTTTGGAGAGTGTCGAATTTTAACATGAATGACAGTTCAGAGGATTCCCTTTCAAGTGCAGATGTAAAAGGTCTTTGTAGCAGAATGCAGGTGGTTAAGTCATTGAGAGAGTGTCCTTTCTGGTTAAAATGGCAAGAAACTGTTTTTTCTTTGTGATCTTGTCTGATATCTGTTTTGTGGGCATTAATCCTTTGGCGAACTTTGTCCAATGTACATAGCAGACGGACGCTTTCAGCACATGATAGCATAAATTATATTTCTGGATGTGCAGGAATATGTTTTTCTTTGCAGGATCATGGCCAAATTATGCATGTCCTGTCAGGACTAAATCTTTACTGACTCTTCTTCATCCCCCTCATACACAACTATCAGTGTAAGATTCAGAATGGTAGGATAACAGTTTCATAAGAGCCGAAGTGATTTAGGAGCCTCAGTCTCACTAAATGGGAATGGGACTTAGGCTTCTATGTCCATAAAGTCATTCTTGCATGTTGAGCTTAGGTCCCTAAATCAATTAAGCACTTTTGAAAATTTTAATCTCAAAGATTATAGCAGCAGACTGTTAATAAAAGTTGCCTTTGTTACTATTGATTTCCATGTACAGCCATTGCAGTTAAACACCATTATTTTATATTTGCTCTCTGTTTAACAGCGTACCTCAACAGGATTAAAGACTGAAAGTACAGAGGAATGTATCACAGAGAGAAGGTAAAAGAAGACACATTTTGTTTTATACATTGTATAACAAAGGATTGAAATGATCACTTATTTTAAAAAAATATATCTCCAGCAACTAAATGTTACAGCCCTGGCTGAAGTTTCCTTTGTGGTCGGATACCAGGCTTCTGTACTGAATGCAACCTTTGGTTTCCACGTGCTTTTAATTCCCTGGAGATTCATTCCTTAGTCCACTGTTTCTGACACACTCCTGGGGCACTAAAGTAAATCTCTTTTTAACAGTCATTTCTTCCTGTCCTTCCCTTGGAGTTATTCCAACCTCTATAGCCTGTGGTTAGGCTAGGGGAGATTGGAAAGCAACAATTCCACTGTGTTTTTTATAAAATGCCAGGTTTCAAAATTTGTTTTTGTTCTGCATCAGATCAAAAGTGCAACCTTTTAATATACTTTGTGACTGAACACAAGAGAAATAGAAAAAAGATGCATTACCGACTAATAGCCAGTAGTTTGGAGGTTAGAGAACTCACCTGGAACAGGGATTTGAACCTGGGTCACCAATAGCCTAGATGAGTGCTTTAGCCATCAATGCATTGGCTGTTTTGGTGGGTCTTAATCACTCATAAAATTCCATTTTGGGCCTTAGAAATCTTCCTGACAAAATTTCCATCAAAACATTTTGATTTCAGTGAATCATCATTCAACTAGCTCTAGCCTGTGGACCTAACATCCTTCATATTTGTTACCAGGGATAAGTGCCATTAGTAAGTCATTAATTTTTGTCCAGTTGTCTCCACTGTCTTGCTAGGACAAGATTATTCAACTTTTCATCGTCATTATTCAGGGTCAGCACCTTAGGTGTCAGACCCTTGCACAAGAGGAAAGATGTAATCTTAACATGACATCATACAGTGAAAGAATCAATAAGAGAGTAAGCATACAGAGAGTTCATAAAGATCAAATTGGAAGTCATAAGTTCATATAAATAAATTCCTAATATGTCACACCCACACATTGATCTGATCAGAAAAAAATCATAAATTTCGATTACCAAAATGTACAATAATACATGATATCTGGTTGCTGTTTAGTTACAATCTGTTCAATAATTTAAATATTTTCAGGGCTTAGTAAACACTACTAACACAGAACTATTTCATGAGGTAGAGGCATTTATTCATCTTGCAGATCCCTTATTGGGTTTTTATTGGTCTCAGTGAGACCTGACAAATGACATCATTAGTAAGCCAAGCATGTTAGGTTTATTCAACTGAGGTTAAAAGTGCAATTGTATAAAAACAAATCTAGTTTATTTATTGCTAATTTATATTGTATTATCCATTACCAGAGTTCAGCAATTTTTCCTTATTTTAGTGCTGAAGAAAGAACAACCTGATCTTTGCTCAGTGTATGAGATTCTTTAATTGTTACATGGGACACATTGAAAACATGGAGGTTCTTCCATGAATGGAAATAGGTTTTCCCTTCTACAGTTCCATCATTGACTTATATTTTAAATGTTAGCACAACTTTGTATTACTAGTATTATGAGCAGCTTGTTGGAAGGGTGCATTACAGACTGTGCTTATAAAATAAATGTGTATTATTAGTCTGTGTGCCAATTAAAATCTTATAATCTTCCAAGAACACATAAATACAGTGAACTATAAAGCTGTCTGTTTGAAAGCTACCTCTGGCAAATAACTAGTGAGGTTCTGTACTCTGTCTCCTACTTCATAGAGATCCTTATGGCATCGATACACTCTGCTTAGAAATTAGATTAGTTCTGCTGTATGTTTTTGCTAATTCTCTTTTGTTGTTGCTGTTGTTGCATCTTTAGAAAGAATAAAGAAGAGGAGTCAAGTAAGTACTTGGAAGGCCAAATTCACTGTGTTTTTACTGCACACTGTTTTCAAAATTTGTACTTATCCAGTTCTGATCTCTATGACATGATCAATCAGAACTTTAACCCAATGAGTGTCAGAGTTATAATGGTGTAATACTGGGAAATCAGAATTGGGCTCCACATGGTTCCATTTGATCACCCCACAGGAGAACCTAAATCCATACTGGCGATGAGAAATAAAATTTAAGAGGCAGAATGATGGAGAGGTGAAGTGAGATGAATCCCATTTACTTCAGTAGAACTATACATGTAGCGGCTACAGAACTGGGCTTCTGACTTGCTGCCAGTAGCATTCAATTCTCCTTCCTTTAACTTTCAAAAAATGTTTCAAAACCTTATCATCACTTGGCAACAGACATTAACAACCACGTTAATCCAAATCAGGCTGTACCATCAGAACTCCTGAGGGAAGCAAAACATTTCACTTGTCCAGCAAAAGGCCTATATATCACTTTAAGGACTTACAAGGTCTCGTTGAGCCTGGCTGTCTGCAAAGGGGTACATTTCACCCTCAATTAATAAATGGGGTTGCTTTAATTCTCTTATATGAAATTCATATCACCAGTTACAACTAGTGCAAAGACAAAGTATTTTAATTGAACGCGTATTTATTTTGTATCAAATATTCTCTTAAATGGTCTGCATTTATAAACTGAAGTAATGAAGACCAATGCATTTAAATCTGTCAATGGAAGAACCACAATTCACTCTTCAGTCTTTATCTGTTTTTTAAAGGTATATCTTTCTTAAGGTAAAGGAAAGGAAGAAAAACACAAAGCTTGGCTCCAGAACAAGACTGTCAAGTTTGTGACAGTGCTGTAGGATTTATGCACAATCCTGCTCTTGATTTGATGTTGTCTTTGTTTCCTAACAATACTGAACCAACTGTTTAATAGGGAAGATGACATCCAGAGATGCTCTTTCAACATTGGAGACTTTCTATAGTATAGCTGCTAATTTTGCTGAGTATTCTCCGTTCTAAACAAAGCTGAATTCAATTCTCACACCACAGAAGCCATAGTCTCCTCTTAGGGTATGTCTACACAGCAAAGTTATTTTGAAATAACAGCCGTTATTTCGAAATAACTGAACTAGCATCTACACAGCCAAACCACTATTTCAAAATTAATTCGAAATAGCGGAGCGCTTATTTTGAATTTGGTAAACCTCACTCTATGAAGAATAATGCCAAATTCGAAATAGCTATTTCGAAATAAGTGCTGTGTAGACACTTATATCGAAATAAGGGGCCTCCAGCCTTCCCAGGGTGCTCTGGTGGCCACTTCAGCCTCAAGCAAGAACACGCCTCTCCCTCCCGCCTCCCTGGAGCCCTTAAAGGGGTTGACTCTGGCCACAGTGCCTGTGCCAGCTCCAAGCCTGCCAGCCCAGAGCCAGCAGTCACTGCCCCTGAC